TAATTTTAATTTATTTATTCATACATATACATATATATATATATATATATCTAATCGTTTTGGTTTTTGTTTAAAAAAAGGCAGTCAAAATATTAAACATTAATTAATTAAATTTAATTTATCGTTAGTTTGGTTTTCTTCTACTTCTTTCTTTTCACTTTCTATTCATTTCATTCTTTATTCATTCTTCATCTACGCTCTTAATATCATTCTCTAGTTCTTGCTTTTCGGTTATTTACTTCCGCTTCTCGCTATGGCTTCAATCCTACCATATCCACGTACTGTTCCCATATTATCGAAACGTTCGTATGATGCTGCTTTTATTATATAATAAAGCATTAGAATTTAATGATGTTCATATGTTTGTATGTATATATATACATATATATATATATATATATATATATATATATATATATATATATGTGTGTGTGTGTGTGTCTGCATATGTATATATGAAATGCGTTTATGGGTGTGTGCGTGTGTGTGTGTGTGTGTGTTTGCTCTCTTGGCTGAAAATACCTTTCTCTTCTTTTGATATTTTTTTTTTTAAATTTATGAATTCTTTCTTTAACTTATGTTAAATATTTGTTCTTTTTGGTTTTTTCTTCTTTCAATTTTTCTCTTCTCACGTTTTTTGTTTATGTTTCGCTTTGCTCCGCTAATTTTTATGCATATGTATGTAAATTTGCAAGATAGAGGTACATATATTTGCAGGTAGACGTACGTATACAAATGCATGCGTATGCGTGTGTATCTGTGGATTTTATTTATTTATTTATTTTTTTTTTTTTTTTTCTATTCAATTTTATTAACTACGCTTACGCACACTTCCATTATTCATCACTTAATGCGAACTGATTGTTGTTCGCTACATCTGCTGTTATTTATGTAAATACATTTCTCAACGGTAGACTGGCAGAGAGCGTAAGGCTATAAAGCGTAATTTCGTTTTGTAACAAAGTGAAAAAAAAAAAAAAAACAATTTTTGGTATTTATCAATTTTATTAGAAGAGACTGAAAGCATTAGGTCTATGCATAAATCGGACAAATTCCCTTTCGTCAGAGACAGCTTGAAACAGTCAGGTGGTCAAAACTAAGCTCATGTTCGATCTATACGCAGTCGTCATGTAGATGCAAATTTCAATCGATTATAGTTTTAATTTGTTCGCTTTTAATAAAAGAAACACCTTTGATGATAAAATCCCTGCAATCAAGTTTCGTAAATCACTTTTAAGCCGCTACAAAAAAAAAAGAAGAAGAAAAATCTTAATATTTCGCTAAAAAAACATGAGCGATGAGAGATTTTGCAAGCACTACGCTTAAAGTTCAAGATCTATTTAGCCATCCATCCGTATGGTTACTCGGACATTTAGCGGAATTCCACGAGAGTATCGTACACACTTGCGTTATATTGAGCGTGAGTGTCAGTTTCTAATGGTGAATGGGTAGCTTTACAGGTCGATATTGATTGATGTTTTCATTTCATCTGGAATTGTTGGTACAAATTTGAATGGGGTTTACGGTACCGTCAGGTCATACCACCTGAATGTATCGCTCGGAAAAAATTGCCTCTGCTAAGAGAGTAATTTTAAAATCTCGTGTAAAAGGAGTGTACAAAACTTGATAAAAGAGATATCATGACCGAGCAATTGGCATCCGCTTCAAAAAAAAAAAAAAAAAAAAAAAAATAATGGAAAAAAACCAAAAGTTTGCCTTAATTCATAATAATATCTGTTTATCGATATAATATCATTGGCTATTTGTGTAGGGACAAAAATTTGCGTAGTGAGTGAGATCTGTGAAAATCATCTATCGCGATAACCATCGCTCAGACTTGATCCTTTCAAAGGTTCGTTGTATAAAGTGATAAAGTGATTTTCAAAAGATTTTTTTCATCAATTTTTTCGTCTATCGTTTCAAAGCCCGCTACAACTGTGCCTTGTAACTGGGCCTTTAGCAATCAGTCGATAGTCGTGTCAATTGAACTACGCTGAGTTCTGTGAAAAGATCGGATTAAGTTTCATTTGCAAGCCATGAAATACGATGTAATCATATATGATATGATTGTACGATGAAAATTGAATTGAAGGAATACAACGTATGATCATTCAGTTGAATTCTATGAATAATGTGACGAATAATAAAGTCGTAAGGACGGTTAGAAAAACGATACTGATGCCTATGGTAGTCAAGCTTTTCGAATACGAAGGTAGAAGACAATGGTGACGATAACGGTTTTGCCGTTTGGTATGTCATTTCGATTATGTAGAGGCATCAAATATCTGGCAATTGGCGATAGATGCTAGAATATGTGCGGTTAACTTTTTTTGGGAAACACCTACCGAAAGAAGAAAAGTCAACAGCACTTGATACCGTAGAAGAGAAGCAGAGGCCATTTCAATTGCAGGCAATGAAGAAATAGTCAGCCAACTAAAGAACTTGCCTACTAAATAGGAAACATGGTCTTAAGCACATAGGAATAATTTATGGGGAAAATTCGCCAAGGTGCCCAACTAACCGATCTTCAGACTTAAAATCCTTGGATATGAACGGCACGCGCTAGCGCACTGTGGCATATTTTAAAAGAAATTCTGCAGATTTTTGAATTTATACCCGATTTCTCTAAGTACTTGGTTAACGTTCAGAAAGCACAGACAATTGCGATTTAAAGCGGTTAAAAATCGGATTTATACGAATTTTAGAAGGACGTCACATAATGATTTGAAATATTTGGTAAAATAAATGTAATTTTCGTTGAGCTTATTCGACGAGATGTGGTTAAGGTAGATACATTGTTGTACCCTATGTTAAATCATCCTTACAATCTTACTTGTACTATTGTAAAACTTGTTACTCTCGAGTTGAGCGGTAATGGCTTAAAATTTTTGAACATATAGCGGCGACAAAGACTTACATTTTATTCGTGTGGCAATGCGGTATATTGAAACGCTTGTACCGTTTGCCAGAAGAGATATTATTGTATTCGGTTATTCGATCGAATGGTTGAAATGGGGTATGAATATTGACATCGGGTAGAATGTTTTCACGTTGCTCGATGTCTCTAATATGGTCGGCGAAGAATTTCAGTTTATATTAAACACCTTGCACACGTTTGATAAGCACTTACATAAATAGTTTCCGTTTGTTTTGATGTCAGTCTGTGTGTCCGTGTCGGCACACTGTGTTGTTGATGTTCTTCATATTGTTGTTATTGTTGTCTTTTTATAATATAAATATAAAAAGTACTTGTAGTGAAGATAAAATTGAACGAAATCAGACAATGTAATTATAGCCAATTAAGCAATTAAGCAGAGTGAAATGCATTCACTTTCAATTTATTTCCCTTTGACAACTCTTCTTCATCCGTTATGGGTTCCTTTTTACACATTCTTACATGGTGGCTGGTGTCTTCTTGTTTGCTTGCTTATTTTCATTTATTTATTTATTTATTTTTTTTATAGTTCAAGTGTTTGCGTTTGTCTTGATTTTCCTTTTCTTTTGCTAAAGAGTTTCGTAAGTTATTTTCTTAATTTATTTGCCAGTAAAATTTTTCCTATTTTCCTGTTTGTTGATTTTGTTAGTTGTAAGGATAAATATATATGCATCTAGGTATATATATATATAATGTTGTGTTTAATGCTGTACGTACGTGTATATGTCTATATATACAAATGTGAATGCAGATATGCATAGTGTTTCGGTATACATATTTGTGTATGTTTGTATGTATGTATGTATGTATGTATGTATGTATGTATGTGTGTGTGAATGTGTGTGTGTGTGTGTGTCTTTTTTTTTTTTTTTTTTTTTTTCTTTTGCGTGGCTTTTTTTATGTATATTTTTTGGTTGACTTTACGAAAATCCCTTATAGTGTACAAAAAAGAATATCAGAAATATGGCATACGCTGTTGGAAATGTTATTCGAGCGATGACATCTATAGTCTTTGCTATCCGAATGGGATGGGGCGGTTCCTTTTTGCGCACCTGCACGAAACATGTCTGCTTCGAAACAATATCAAAATACATATATATATATATATATATATATATATATATATAATATATATTATTAGGTAGATGAAAAGTATTTATGCAATCATTGCTTACCTCGGTGGCACAACCATTATTAGCCGAATGAGTGCATGGACTACCGCTACTGCCGCCGCATGTTGTGCAGGCAACAATTTCGTTCGGTGCACTGGCATCACGTTTCTTTTCGCCCTGATAGACGGCAGTAAATTTAAAAAACTTGATTATAATTTGCGTATTTACAGATCGGATCAGATACATTTTATTATTTATTTTGTTATTTTTCATACACATATATATATATATACACACATTTTATGAAATTTTCGTTCACGCATATGCCCACAACAACACACATATACATCGAGAATAATTAAATAAAATGCGTTTTTTTATTTATATATTTATTTATTTATTTATTTATTTATTTTTGTTTTATGCAACATTTTATAGAAAAAAAAGGATTTTTAGCATTGACATTGGCATTGATAGTAAATTGTAGCATTAAATATGTTGAAAATAATTTAAACATTCTCAGCAGAAGAAGAACAACAACAGCGAAAAAGCATTAATTAAACAAAATAGAAAAAAAGAAACATACATACATATTAAAAATATAGAAAAGCAAGAAACAAAAAACAAAAGACAAAAATTAGATTATTATAAAAACACAAAAAAAAAAAAAAAAAAAAAAAAAAATGAAAGAAAAAAATGAAAGATAAAGAAAAAGAACATAACCTCACCCCAACTCGGCTTATCACCGACTCGCTCTTCGCTTTTGCCGAAACAGTAAATCATAAGGAACGCATGCATGACCGATAAGTGATAACTTGAATATGATTAACTTTTTAAATTAACGACAAAAGCAAACAATCCTTAGATGGAAAATATTTGGATTAAACCTTAAAGAGAATTTCAAAATCGTATAAATTTTTGCAGCATTTTTATGTTCAATAGGTTTGTTTAATGCGTTTTGCTCTGGAGCAAAATAAAATGATGTTATTGTTGTTGTGTGCAAATGTTTTCGCTTATATTTGACCTCAGCATAAGTTGCAAATTTAATGATCGAAGCGAACCGGTTTGACTTGTTTAGAGAAAATGGAAAAGCCTAAAAATGGCAAAGTGTTGAAGTATTTAGAAAAAAAAAATTCATGACACAGTTATAATAACAATGACAATTAGAAAAAAAGCACACACACATTATTTTAGAGAAGGAATATACATACGACTTGGAGAATCGAGTGAAACATTAAGGTTATTAAGCACAGGCACAAGGTAGGTGAATATAGTAAACAAGTATAAAAATGTTATCGTTCGCTCTCACATTATTTGCAGCTAGCAATGCTGTTGAATCACATCACTTCGAAATTAGTATTATGTTGATATTTTAGAAAAAAGGATTACAGGTTCTCCATAGGACGTCTTTAGAATAATTGAAAGGTATACGATATATGTTCAGTTCGGAATTATGACAAAATCGGGGCAAAATCGAATGAATAACTCATCATCTAATGGAGAATTTATTTATTAAACTGTATAGTTGAGTAAGAGATACGCTTATTGAGGTGAGGATATATGGAGATATACAAATATATATGTATATAAAAATAAATAAAAAATAAAAAAATAAATCAATCTATTTACAAATAAATTTAAATATTGAAAACAAATCCCCTTCACAGGGATCGCATACTTACGGGCTGTGTTTTTTTTATTCAATTTTATTTTGGTTGTCGATTGTTGTTGTTGTGTTTGCATTGGATTATTGCAGAATAGCATTTAAATTTATGGAGGAGACGAGAAAAACAAAAAAGAAAATTGTAGGAAAGAGAAAATTCCAACAATTGCAGTAAATTTCCTTTTTTATTTCATTTGATATCTGAATACATTTGTTTTTTTTGTTTCTTTACTTTATGTTTTTTGTTTTTTTTTTTGCATTTGCGTGTTGTATGTACATGAATGGAATAACAGCGTTTACCACACAACTACAAAGAGTCATCAGCAACTGTTTTATTTATGATGATACATGTATGTATGTGTGTATGTGTATGTGTAGGTGTGTGTGTGTGTGTGATATGTCTGTGATTTTGTGGCATCTAAGATGAAATGAAACTTTATGTCACCGGCCAGATTAGCGAGCTACATTTACCTGCACCGGATGTGTGCATAATGAAAAGGCTTTAAATATTTTCTACAAACATCACTTTAGAGTGCGCTAAGTGATTTCTCTGATCAAATTCTTTAACTTTTAAAAAAATTAAAATATATATATAAAAAAACTGCTTTAAAATTGTCTAATCTTGTCTTCCGGGCTTCCATTCATTTGGAAATTTCAAGAAATATGTTTATATTTGTTTTTTTGCTTTTTTAAGTTTAAGTCGAGTTAAAACAGACAGAGCGGGCCATCTAGCTCAGAAACGAATGCAACGATTTTATTAAAATATCGCACAGTTCTTCTAGTTTAAGTCACTCTTCTTCTTCTTCTGCCTCTTCTTTACTTTGATCACTACATATTTTACATAGCAACCTCGACGAAGAAGGAGTTGTACTCATTTACAGAGGACCCTCTGTTTTAGGCGGTTTACCATCGCACAGGACGAGAGGGTAGGTAAACCAAGTTTTTAATGAATTCTATAAAATACTTTTGAATATTTACGCTTATAAAAAAAGGGAAAATAACTTTCTTTTACTTTTCAAAACGCATTTAATCCCATTAAAGGAAGGTAAGACGGGACGATAAACGACTGGTATGAAATGTAAACGTTTCGTCACGTACCTACTAGATATTGTAGGCAGGTGTAATGCGTCTTTTTATTTTTAATCATTACACCCTCGACCCCTTGCGGTACGAAGTTATATTAAGTTTTTGCGGATTTATGCAGCAAACAGAAGGACTTATTCTATTAAGCGATTCAGAATCATTTTTTGAATCGATATACGCTTGTCTGTCCGTTTGTCCGTCTTGCTTTCTTATGTTCAACCTACGCAATTTTTGAGTTATGTTGGTGAAATTTGATACATTGATGTTTTTAGGCCCAAACGTAGACGCTACCGAATCGGTGCAAACCATTTGGATCGTAACACTTTCTCCACCCCTTTCTATATAAAGTCTGTATTTTAAGTTTTATTATATTCATAACGGTGTAGGGTATTTAATGATCTTTAGAGTTTTGATTTGTTCTACTTAAACTAATAAACACTAAAAGTAAAAAAGCATTTATATAGGACTTTTGTTTCTTAAACGATTAACTTTCTTAAAACACATAAGAAAAGCTGGAATCCGGAATACTCACTCACCATTTAGTTGCAAATTATTGCTTAGTTAATTTTAATGTTAGCATATATAATACCTTACCTATAATGATTAGATTAATCAAAAGTGTCATATAGCATTGTTCGCCTTTTTTATTCGAACTTGAGTAAATACAACATGGCAAACATATGTTTAACTTGTCGCATCCCAAAATGTAATAGAGGGGCAATAAGAGTTTGAATGCACGTCTCTAGAGGGCAATCGTTCCAAAACTTAATTTCATTAAAGATTATTTAAAACAATGTCACCAACTTGGACTTAATTTAAAAAAAATTAAGGAAATTAAATCCATATATATATTTGAGAAAGTTGGCTCCTCAGGTAGCAATGTGTAAAGGCGATGTCATATATAATTGATCTAAATAAAAGATTGATACAGAAAAACAGAAAAACTGTTACTTTTCTGATTTATTAACACAAGACTGTGTTGTCTGTTTATGCTTTTAGTACCATATGTATGACTTGCACATATATTTATCTGAGCATACGAAAGGGTGACAAGTATCTCTGTTTGTGTCTTATACACTCAACACGTTTATCTAAATCTCAAGTGCGTACAAGTTTGTAGGATTTCTTTTTCCCTCATTGAAAACAGCCTTTAAGTTTATCATGTTTTTTGTCATGCTTCGGAAAATCTAGTAAAATTCACACAGACACAGATTAGAGTATTTGCTGTAGGCAAGCGTCTTGCTGTCGACTTTTGAAAGGAAAGTTAAAGCTACTTATACAATCCCCATAATGAGTTGCACTTAAAAATTGCTGATATGCTCCCAAGGTCAAATAGGAAGTGCGATCCGGCTAAAAACTTCTTAGGACTGGTCAAATGAAAGCGAATAATCGGCTAACACCACACTGAAGTGACGAATGGAATGGGGTCACTCGAAAGGTCACTGGGAATTTTTGTGACTTGGGCTTGGTTAATTTGATATAATTACCCTATAGTAAGGACCTTGCACATTGTTACGGCCCCGGAGAGCAACTTGTATGCGAAAATCGTTCCTTCGTTTGTTTTACTGTTTTAAACCTCAGAACGTTTTCATCGTAATGTGGTAATGAAACTTAATGAAGAAGAAATGCCATATAGCTATTGGGGACAGATCAAAGTTTTTTTTTTTTTTTTATTGTTTTACTGCTTATTTTATCGACTGTCATCATAGTTTATGCAAAAATTGAATTCAAGCCTTCACGCGAATATGTGTATGGGTGAGAGATTTATTCATTATATTATGCATACATTTGTACTAACTGACATCTTATGAATTTGGTGGGCATCCAAGATTCAACTTGAAATGATTTTGTTAAAGTTTTACAGTTGGTTGTTGTTCTCCTCATAACAAAATATGTAAAATAACGCGTATCGCATATGGCTTCATTATGTCTGTATGCATGTACGTATCTGCATGACTGGGTGTTAGTTCAGTGTTTGTATATTACTATATATTAAATGAATATGTATATATATATATATATGTGTGACAATACACATATATAGATAAATATATATATAATAAATATATATATTAATATATTTATATATGCATGGAACTTTTGCTCAAACTCAGGACACATATATTAAAGAAAAATATTACAAGAATTTGTTGATTTTACGAAACTCATCCGCCCCATAATATGTACAAACAAGCATAACTACTTATGTACATAGTTAAGAGTATGCGATACGTACACACATACTTTCATAATCAAGAGAAAATGGTATTATTATAATTTTTGTTTTAGTTTTTGAAAAAAAAAAAATGAAAGAAAAAATAAAACAAAAATTCAAGAGAATAACTTTAGGCTTAAAAATAATTTTTTTGAAAAAAAAAAAAAAAAAAAAAAAAAAAAAAAATATATATAAATAAAAAAGAAATGTGTTTGTATGTGCAATTGTTCGTAGGTTGTGTGTGTGTGTGTGCATATATGTATGTGTGCTTGTATGTGTTTGGATATATATGTGTGTGTGCGTGCGTGTGTCTCTCTCTCTCTCTCTCTATCTCTCTCTGTGTGCATGTGTGTGTGTGTGTGTGTGTGTGTGTGTGTGTGTTTGTTTGTTTGTTTGGGTGTTTCAGTGCAACTCATGCATCTTGCACTCGTATCTGAGTGGATAATGTGATAATTGTAATTCATGCAAGAGAAGCGAGAAGCGTTTACACTGCTCTTTGTGTAATTAGCGTGGTATAAAGGAGGTGCTTACCAAACAACATAACAGTACGTGTATTTCTTTTAACTCACTTCACATATAAAGTAAGTAAAAAATGTGATGAATGTAAAAAAAAAAAAAAAAAAAATTCATATAACGAACAAAAGAATAACAACAATAAAAAATCAAGATAATTAAAATCAAAAAGGGGTAAATCTACTGCGCCTACTATTAAAGTTAACATTTAGAACGCATACGTAAGACACATGTTAGACGGCGGTGCTATGCATGTGCACGAAATAATCTGATTTTATTAAACCTTTTCTCTTGGCCATACTTTTCCCTTTGAATTTATACGAAATAATTGCAATTTAATTACTAATATGCTAAATTAAATTACAGTTTTGCTTAGCATTGCTAGGACTGCATTAAGAAGCCTAAGATTGCTTCCTTGTATTCCGCGAGCTTTCTCTTTATCTCGTAAGTTCCAATATAAATGTTTATATTTCTTTCAAACGGATATATACATAATTTCGACGTTATATGTTTTCGACGGTTCGATGTTGTACATTAGAAGAAGATGCCAAGCTTTCTTGTCTTCTCTCTTCTTTCCGTTTCTTTCATTTCGTTTTCGTATCTATTGTCACTTTCAAGAAGACTGAGTTTATTGCTGATGTTTAGTTTCTTTTTTTTCTTTTTTTTTTTTTTGATTTGATTTTGCGTTTTTCCTATATTTAATTAGCGAGAAAGAAGAAAGATTTTAAGTAAACAGTGCAACATCTGAGAAGAGAACAATACGATAACTGCCTCATACAATTTCCTAATCAAATTCAAATTGACTAAAAATGAAACAGGTAAACAGTGGATGGATGGATGGTCCAGACAGGCAATTTGAAATCGCGGACGCAGAAGGAAGAAGAAGTTTTCCAACAGTTTTTTGAAGATCAATAAATGGATGACAATAGAGAGACAGCTTGTCAGATAAATTCTTTATTACACTTACAGTTATAAAGTTCGTACTTTTATGTAAAAACTTGACATCTTTCGATCAGTTCTTCTTCTTCTCTAAGTAGATTTCAAGGAGTTTCTATTTGCTTTACGCTCCCCCTGTTGTTGCATTGATGGATTTAACACAACTATCGTCTCTTATCTACACACAGTTTATCCTATGGTCTTCGAATTTGTTTCAATCGCTTAAGTAGTAACGAACGGCATTCCATTATGCATGCATGAGTCGTTAACGCGTGTTTAAAAATCAGACCACTAAAGGGCAGTTTTCTTTTTGATTTGATCACGAATCAAAGGTAATAAAACTTTCTCATCTAAATCCAAATCGTGACTTTTTTTTGGCTTAATGTCATGTCACATGTGATTGGTTTTAGCGAAGCTTAAATATAATTTGAAGCCTTCGATAAGGGCAAAACGATGCATATAAAGTTGTTTGTTTGAATTTTGAACGGTGAACTTGAATAAACCGAAACAACAGGCATTGAATTTCCATTGAAAAAGTCTCGAGGAAGCACAACGCAGTGTGAAAGGATGCGTTATCGTGATGTGAAAACTGAAAGTTCGTTCCATTCATAGTTTTAGAAAAAAGTGTCAAACAAGCTTCACATGACACTCAGTTATAACGCTGCTTCTTGGCTGTTTTGCTCAGCGAAACAGGCGTATTTACGGTAATCGAAAAAAACTTTCTCTTATCACATTTTGACTATACCGCTATAAAGTTACTTACATATACCGTACGTACATTTATATTAATGTGGCTTTGTGCGGCTCTGAGCGAGTGTGCGTTTGCGTTCTGATGGATAGATGTGTGGCACAAATTTGGAGTGATTTTGTTGTTTATTGAAATGAAGGTTTTGGTAGAAAAATCGCGCAAAATAGAATCGAAGCTATACACAAACAGGTAATCGATCATTCATCTAAGAAAGTGTTCATCGGAAGGACTATGTCCGTATTTCGCGTATTGCAGCCATTGCGCCTTTAATTGTCAAGTAAACTGATTGTATTGTTGTTGGCAGTGATTTTTTTTAATTTCGAATAGATCATAACACACTGTACATGCCCAGCTGATTTCCCGAATGATAGTGGATATAGTGGATATTCAGCTTTATCACTTATGCTATTTATTCGTTTGCATTGCAACATTGATTGTTGCGCTTCGAATTTATAGCATATCTATCATTTTCCGTTAGCCGCTACGCTTCTGCAAAAGTTTCGTTCGAATTGAATGGCAAAAAGAAAGCTCTCCACGCATGACGGACGTGGCAAAAAGACTATATAATCTGCACTTCGACGAGATAGCTAGATATTGGTACGTAAAACCATAGTCTAGATACTGTGCTATGAAGAAGGTACTCCGATATAATACTAGCTTCGCTTTCTCTTAAAACTGGCACGAAGCTTATGCATGCTCTCAATAATCGCACTTGCGAAATACTTGAAAAGGTAAGCTTTACTTAGTTATGTTCGCGTTCAACTAATCTTAACCGGATTCTCAATTATGGAATAGGCTTACTTCGCTTTCACAATACATGGCCTCTCTATTTATACGGATCTATATAACACTGTAAGTAGAAATAAAATGTATGATAACCCTACCGATCTAAATACAATTAGCACAGCAAAGGTATGATTAATAGTATAGTTTAGTATAAGAAAGTAGACGACTTTTGAACAGGTATCTTTCTAACTTTTAAGGATATTGCGAATGTTCATCTCAATCAATCGTTCGCAGTGCCGTAGGCGACAGTGTTAACTTAATAGTTTAGCCCTTCTTTTTTTAATTGGTGTCATCCGAGTCTTCATAATTCTGACCGCGTTTTAGGGAAAGGTAATAAGACGTAATGCGATATACGCTCGAATGCTTAGGTGGCTACCTTGATTCCGGAGATGATTTCAGAATTGTTCAACTTTTTTTTTTTGACACTGCCAATGCAAGGTGTACCTTATGTTTTTTTTTTTTTTTTTTACCATGTTTGAGAGAGTGATTACGATTCAAGTGTGCCTTCTTCTGTGTTCCTAAATCGTTGCAACTTTTAATTGGCTAAACTTTTTTGCATCTAATTTCTTTTCCACTCGTTTTTTTACTTTCATTATTATCTCGACTGCAATTGCAGTATTTGCATGAATTGATTTTTTCTACTCCTTTATAAACAATAACGTATTTCATCTCTCATATTTCTGGCATAGTCTTTCAATCATTTGAGAATCATTTAATCTGGTCTTGCGATGATTTCGTTACTTTTTCATTAGGTCGTTCAAATTTATTTGGAAAATTTACAAAAAGTCTCCTAACAAGTGAAGCTATCTCTTTAAACCGCTACCTAGTCAGCGTAGCATTGCAAACAGGTTCGCTTTCTCTAGTCTGGTTATCGTTGTTACTTACTTCTCTGTCTACTTACCGAAAAGGTGCTTTAAGTGTATATTAGTTTCACTATAAATTTTTCATGTATTGGTTTCATCATTCTTTGCGAATGTTTTTTGAAAACAAAAAAAAAAAAAAAAAAAAAAAAAAGAAGAAGAAGAAAAATAGACAACAAATATTCGAAACAAACGCCACGAACAATAAAGATGAAATGATATTTGAGAATAGAATCGCTGGGGTTGTAACTGGCGGTAGTTTATCGGTATCGCTTGACTCCCCCTTATGTGATGCTTCTATTATTTAGTTTGTTTTTATCGTTATGATTAATGTTCTCTTTTTTGTTTTTAGTAAAATACCGGAAATTGAAAATTTTGAATAACTTAAACTCAGTAGAGCAGAAATATTGAGAGAGTGTTAGTTAGGAAATATTTAAACATAGAAAAACATACACATACACGACATAGAGCATACATTTCTGGTTAATATTTATTGACCTAAAAGTTAGAAACACAACAAAGGCTGCATACAGTGTGTGCGTGCAGTGATGCACAATATGTTTCAACAATCACTTACGCGATCTTCTGTTGCTGATGATTGTTGTTGCGTTTGTTGCTGAGTTTGACCACTGCCAGCCGCATTTATTATTTCGTAATTGCTTGTAGAGGGCGAAGTCGAACGCGAAGTCTTTTTACGTGGCGGTTTCAAGGGCATTTGTCGTTCGACGAGTTCAATGCTCACTTCTTTGAAACCGAACGCGGTTTGCTTGGTTTCGCTATCTTCATCTTTAGCGTTTCCTTTAAATATTAAAGGCGGCGTGTTAGTTGCCATTGAGTGCGATCGTTTTAATTGACATTCTGAACTGTCAGCGCCAACGATGCCGGGAATCGCTGTTATTACTCTCTGTTCAGGTTCGACGGTGACGGTTGTTGTGATCGCTGTTGCCCGAGTAAATGCATTTTCAATTACAGGTTCATAGTAGGTATGTTCGTAAGTGTGACGTTGTGCGATTTGTTCTGTTTGCTGTGATGATTGTTGCTGCTGCTGCTCTGATCGCTCGTGCTTTTTCCTGCGCAGAGTAAGCGCTTGCCAGTTTTGCACAGCATTCGCTAATAGACCGCGTGACGATTCTTGATGCAAATGAGCTCGGGACCTATGCTCTACGGGATGCGTTCTCGATGTTGCTGCTCCACTAGCAGCAGAGAGTCCGGCCGCCGCTTTTTCCGAATGTAAGGCAGCATGGAATTCTCGTTCGATTACCTCCTACGCAATAGATTTTTTTTAATTTTTTATATTTTGTTTTTTCATATGAAACGAGTAATAACAATTATTGTTGTTTAAAACTGTATTAGTTCTCAGTTAATTTGTTATGCATTCTATGCAAATTTTATTTCAAGGGATATTTTATGATCCCTCTATGTAGAGAACCATATATATATATATCGATTTTTTTCTTGTTATTTTTTTTTTTTTTTTTTTTTTTTTGTTTGTTTAACGAAGTTTTCATGTCTTGCTCATTTTTGTATCCCTTGGTGTGTCTAATGCGTGTTAACTTATTAGAAGGATAACAGTTAGTAGAAATAACGGTTATTGAGATTTTCTTGGTTTTTGATGGATAAGCACTTGTTATTGAATTTCAAAATTCATTTATAGCAAATGAATCATTCTTTGACTATTGAAACGATCTTGCTAAGCCAGCAGCAGATTGGTGATTATATGTTCTTCAGATCAGCAAAGCGGCCGCATAAATTCCATACTCGGTACAGATAAATATGATGATAAGCTATTCGAATTTTTTTTAAAAAAAAAACTTTTTCGTCATCTAGCAAAAATCATATTTTCTATAGAGAAAATATCCAATTCTTCACGGGATCTAAATTTTATTTAATGTTCATTTCTAAATAATTGTTTGCTAAGCAATTTAAAAAAGAGACCACGCATTAGTATAATAGTTGCCTTTAATGTAAAAAACATTCTATCTTCGCATACTTGTGCAGCAGAAAATGCCCTTAGTTGATATTGATATTCTATAGTGACATTCTGTAAACGTTCCGGAACAATTGATTGATGAGTTTCAAAATTATTCCCGATCTCTGTAAACGGTATTTACGGCGTGGATATTTATAGTGTTGGTTCTATGCGATTACGCCGACAAGCATTTTCAAACTGAACGTCTTCTTAAGTTTTTGAAGGATGTGCGTGCAAAAAAAAAAAACCGAATTAAACGACATCTATACGAAATTTCTGATTATTTACTACAATCTTTTGTTTATTTTTTATCGCGCATACGAATACGAGTAAAATGATCTAACCTGATATTTTTGGTTAAAAAGGCTGTCTAACTTAAAACGGACAATAGACGCACTTTCCAATCTTTTTCGCTTCAAAAATATACAAATAAAGTTTGGATGAAAAGATACCGTGCATCTTAGGACCATTCGATGGCAATTACAGCTTCGTTAAAACACATCAGGGCTGCATAATGTTTCGCTAAAGATGTAAATTTGTTCGATCATCTCGCTGCCTTTAATGCGTGCTTGCAATTTGTACATTTCATAATCAACGTCCATATACGAAATTGTTCTTATTGTCTCAGTTTTTCTTTCTTTATTTTGAAAGCATCTGTAAAAAGCCTCAGCTTTGAATGCTGAACACTGTGTGGCTGTTGACTTATCTTTTTCGGTTTTCATCTCTTTTTTCCCTCCTTGAGTTTTTTAACAACAGACTACAGATAGACACGCGGGCGTGAAAACTTCCTAACAAGCTATCACAAATGGGGCCATCGGAAGGGCGGGGGCGGCCCCCCCCCCGGAGGAGCTACGGTTACAATTAAATTGACGTAGAAGCTTACGTTGATTCAGGAATATTTACGCGTTAAGAGTCTTCTAGCATGTATACCAAAAACAACAACATATTACGATTGTGGATTTACGAAAGACAGCCGATAAACAAAAATGCACACATTAAATGAAAGAATCCACGATATAAATCTGTTGAAATTGATTTTCACAACTTCTATCGCTATATCAAATTTCTCAAACACACCTGCTCGTTTATATGTTATAGTAAATAAGTTAGAGAAGCTTTATTCGCGTCTTCGAATTTATCATTTAAAGGGAATATATATATATATATAGGACATTCGATATAAACTGATCATAGATAAGGGATTTAGCCCTGATTGAAAGCGGTTTTGCTTTGGCGAAATCAATAAAAACTATAGAACACAAGATTTAATCGTCTAAGAATAAGCAAATTGCATTAAGGACTGTTCAAACATATTTATTTCATATATATATAATAGAGTCGATGTTATTAAAGTAGAAAAAGAAAATTAAATAATCAAAGCGTACAAAAAAAAAAATTTATTTCATTTGAAATTATTTAAAATTTTATCTTCTACAAATAGAAAAAAAAAAACAAAATAATATAAAATAAATTGCTTTTTATTAGAGATCAACGAGCATTATAATGTAATATTACATGAACTTAAAAGCAAGAAGATTGTTGATTGGAAATCAAATGAATGAAGCGTACTATGGCATGCTTTTATGGCTACCATGGATAATACATCAGTGAATTTTTGCCGGGATAAAGAAAAGAAAAAAAAAATAATAAGTAAATAATTTCAGATGAAAAAAAAAAAAAAAAAAAAATTAAATAAGCAAAAAAAAAAAAAAATAAGAAAGAAAAAAGGGACTAAGAAGGCTGCATTTGCTCTAAAACAAATCTTCACCACCTAAGGTATACAATGTTGAGGAATTTTGTCAAGTAATTGCGTACGTGAATCTTATCTATCATTGCATCTGACATTTCTTTTCAAATTCTTTCACATTTGAATATCATATATGTAAGTAGTAAGCAAGTCTTGGGCACTCATCGCCTATAGCGATGATCTAAATAAACCTTTTTTTATAGTTATTTGTAAATTTTATGCAAATTTTGAATCGAACTTAAGCCTAAATTGTGCCCATTTAATATATTTATACATTTATATAGATCTCTCTCTCTCTCTCTCTCTCTCTCTCTCCCTGTCTCTTGCCCTCTCTTAGTGCATGTATACGTGGAAAGATCTCAACATTTTTCAATCACATTTTCAGTTAACATATTTTGGCACAATTTCGAACATTAATTAAGTAATTAATGTAATTTTGATTAGTTCCTTTAATCTTCTAATCAGGAAAACGGGTAGTTAAACATTTGCACACAGACATAGGAAAAATCGATCTCAATAAGCTTAAAACTTTATGTAAATAAAAAATTTACCGAATTTCTGATGCAGTGTCGCGAGTCTTTTTACCTCGGGTGGTGTCGCGTTGCCGATGGTAATTTTTAGTGTGTATAAAGTGAAAATAAAAGCAATGCTGATGATTATATACTAACAATCACTAACTACTAATGTTACTTAGAGCACACATTCATCTATTTATTTTCATTTGTTTCTATGTTTTCTTTCTAAACTAATTGAACTTAGGAGTAATTAAAGAAAACTTAAGAAAAAGTATAACTTTTGGCTAATAAAACAATTGTTTTTCTTTTCTTTTCTTTTCTTTTCTTTTTTTTTTTTTTTTTTTTTTTTGTTTTTTTTCTATTATTTTCTGTGTTTTGTTTTATATGAACGCGTGTATGTACAACCAATCAATTACCTGAAATACTAAACATAAGTAATACATTACGCTTAAGTAATTGAGCTAAACATGGAAAAAATTCGCTAATGATTTGGAAGATTTATTTAAGTCGTACACATAACGTACGTGGACAACATTTGCTAAACATTGCAAAAATTACCATAAATAAAAAAAAAAAAAATAAATAAATAAATAAATAAATAAATAAATAACAAAAGCATATATATACATACGCATAAATCTATAAAGAGATATGTGTATGTACGCACATATACGTTAACACGTAACATTTTTCCCAATTAATTATTTAATTAAATAGTATATGTTTGTTTTACGGATATATGTATATATATAAATACATCCGTACAAGGGTGTATATGTGTGTATGCGTGTGTGCCTGTCTGTGCGCCTGTTTGTGTGCGTGCATATATATATATATATATATATATATATATATATATATATATATATATTTGTTCGTGTTCCTGTGCGTGCGCGTATATATTATGTATGCATGTATATATGTACGTGTTTTTGAGACCTTAAAGTGTGTTTTTGTTTTCTCCATTATATTATTACTTTATTTCGAATCTCAATGAAAGAGAGTAAATTATAGAAAACAAGAAAACAATAAAAAGACAAATAAAACAAAATAAAAAAGCAAAAATATGCTTTTTCTGATCCTCGCTTCCTTTTTTTAAATTCTTGCACACACCATGCTTTATTATTTAAAAAAATAAAAACAAAACGGAAGAAGTGAAAAAACAAAAAAAAAAAAAATTCTCGGCAAAATCCAAAATTAATCGAAACCAACAATAATTCCGTAGACTAGAATTACGTTTATGTGTACACTGAAAGCGTGCGTCTACGAAACCGATATTTATTTGCTGCACGACAGATAGGGAAGGGAAACGGAAGCAAAGTACAATGTAGAAGAAAGTTTTTGCAGTTGAAAGCGAATTTTTTCATGCCAGCTATTGTCTAGTTTTGTTTCGGTTGCAAAAAGTTTCACGTGTTTGTGTGTTTGTGAACACATAAGTCAAAACGAAAAACGAAAACAAAACAAAGAAAATAATATATAAAGTAAAACAAAAACAAAATTACAAAAACTGTGTTTGAAAAATAAGTAAATATATATTTAAAACTCGTTTTCTTTTCTTTTATTTTCTTTTCTTCTCTTCACATTTCTAAATAATTTATTGATTTACTTATCGCTTTAATTATTAGGCATTAAGTCAAACGTCATTAATCAATGTTCGATTGACTAGCTGACTGGCTGACTGACTGTGGTCATGGTGGTAATGTTGATGGTGATGATGATGATGATGATGATGATGGCGGTGGTGGTTGTAGTAGGGGTAGTGAATAGCAGCGTATTCTAGTTTAACTTGCGTAGTTTGAGGAAAGTAATCGTAATCAAAAAAAAAAAAAAAAAATATATATATATATATATATATATATATATATATATATATATATATATATGAATGAATGAAGATGGTGATAACGATAACGATGGCTTGGCTATGATAGGTAATAAGGCTGTTGATGATGACGACAATGGTTTGTTACTTTATTTGAATACTTGCTGATCTTACATCTGATTTATAAATGTTGATGATAATGATCTTAAAATGTTGATAATAATGTAAAAGATGATGATGATGATGATGATGATGATTATCATATGTTACTATTGTTGCGCATTTAATGTCATTGATTGGTGATGATCGACTGCTATTGTTGCTTTTGTAGTTGTTCTTGTTGTCGCCATTGTAATACAATGCATGATGTACATTTGATTATCAGGATTACGGGAAGTGTTTGCAAATAATATGTGTTTTGTTTGTTTTTTTTTTTTTTTTTCTTTTTATTATTGTTTTGCTTTTCTCAGTTTAGTTCGATTGAGGATTAAAGGGTATAAAAAACGTATGTGCATGAGTTGAGTGTTGTTGATAGCTTACCAAAGGACTTGCAAGAATAACTCCAATCCTGCTTAGAACCGCTGGAAGACGCTGCAAAACATATATAAAACAATATTGATACTAAAAAACACATTATAATTTTTGTTAAAAAAAAAAAAAAAAAAAAAAAAAAACAAAAAAAAAAAATTAATTTTTCTCTTTTATTATATGTAAGTATTTTTGATTTTGAAGAAAAATTAATGCGATTCGTTCAAATCAAATTAGTGAGATACTAATGCTTTTAATGAAAAGTTATTGATTTTTGTTATTCTCATTTTATTTATTTAGTCTTCGGTTGCCTTCCTTAACTTTTCTCCATCGTGTGTATGCAGAAGCCAAACCAGATATTACCAAAAGAAACTAATCGCTTAGCTTTAGCTTAGTTTCTGTTAGTGATTACATTAACATAAGCCAATAATTTAGCTGAAGTATAATAAAATTGGGAACAATGTTAGATAGATTTTGCTCTCTTCACGTTACTTCTATTTGTTAAACACGAAGAATAATGAATAATAAGCTTTCCTTTTCTTTTTCTTTTTCTTTTTCTTTTTTCTTTTTTTCTTTTAACTTTACTGTATTCACTAAAATAAAACGTGGTATATAAATCTTGTGTATGTATGTACGCAATTTACTTTAATTTAATTACTTTCTTCTTTATCTGCCCATCAAGATGATGTTTTACGTTAAACGTTTTTGGCCATTAAGAGAACAAATCTACAAGTGTGTCTAAGGTGTCAAGTTAATAGCAAAAATATTGTAGAAAAGTAGGGCTAAAAAGAACGATAGTTCATGAATTAGATCATTCCTTATATAACGCAACAAGTATGATTTGCACGGCAGAGCTCTTGTGGAGCGTGTATAACAGCATTTCATTTCGTTCGTTCTTCTGTTCAATCGTCACTCTCGTTTCTACCTTTTATTCTATTTTCGGTGATGGGAAATTAGTTTTCTCCGGAGAGAAGTTAAGGTGCGTCTCGGAATAAATTTTTTGGCTAGGGCTAGTATAGAGCTAAGAAGTGTTAACTATGCAGAAGGCATCCCTAGTTTCTGTGCCGATATATCTCCGCGCCTAGCGTCTAGGCATGGGGGAAGATAGCAACGCTCCACTCTGAAAACTCGTGCAATCTCGTCATCTCTCTCGATGCAAGCATTTAATCTTGAAGTGCTAGCTAAATTCCGTCTTCCCCCATGTTGAGGATATGGTTCACACTCATAATCTCGCTTTGACGCTTCAGGACTAATTACAATTAGTAGGAGTGAATGTAACGAAAGGAATTGTTTCGCGGCTTTTGCGGGCACTGGTTAACGTTTCGCCTATAACTCGTGCGGCGTCGGGAACGATCAAATTAAACATGCTCAATATTCTGGAGATATAACATCTTTTGTGCGCTTGTTCTATGTCTCGTTCGAGTATCTCTCTAGCCGTACATTATTCCTGTTATACGTTTGTCCTTCTTTTAGACTTTCCGTACGGCAGTGCATTCATTTTTATATTCTTCCTTCTTCCTATCGACGTTCGTTTGCATGTCTGTCTGTCTGTCTGTGCTGTTAGCATTCACATACCTATCAATACCGATCAGATCATTGAATTGTCTGTCCGGTTTTCTGTCGTCCTTCTCGGCACTCTTCTCGTCCATGTTTTCGTATATTCAGTTTCGTGTCGATTCATTTTCCCACGCGTCTCTACATTTTTCTGCTCATCGCTCCGCTTTCGCGCATCCTTCTGGACATCCGTTTATCGCACATGCATCCTTTTTTTGAGTGACACAGCGACGTCATGCAAACGATGTGCTCACAAACACATGCGAAATAAGCAAAAACCAAAAAAAAACAAGTGAGAAAGTTATTTTCGGCGGGGGCCGAATCTCGCATACCCACCACAATGCTTATAGCATTCTCTTCTTCAAAGTTCTTTCATTTGACATCCATATACCCCTGGTATTATTAAGAAAAAATTAATCGCGGTACCCACTACACGATTTTATTTTCAACCCATTTTTAGGCAAATAATATATCTTCATATTTGCGGAATGTGAATGAATATTTGTAAACAGTCTGTCTTGTTGGCCTTACGATAAATGCGCATGAAATCTCACAAAACTAAGAAACATAAAATTGAATCATTTGTAACTTTAGACGGACATGGCCGATTTTTCCCCTTTTTGCAGCTAAACAGTAAAATGTTTCGTAAAGTAATTGTGAAAAATTGCAATCGTTTAACTTTTTTATAATTTTGTGAGAGAGGACCAAAAATCCACAGATTTTTGTTAAGAAAAACGAAGTTGCGTTCAGTTTATGCCCATTGCGGGCTTCTCCTCTGACCAATTTGCCCCATCTTCACACACTTCCAATCTTTCTACAAAATTTGAAGTCGATATCTACATTTTTGCGACCAGGAAGACTGCTATAAATAAACCCCTCACAGACACACAGGCGGCCAGACATGGCTAAATCGATTCAGAATTTCACGCTGATCAAGAACTCTATAGAACTTTATAGGAACTATGAAGATTCCTTTTGGGTGTTACCTACATTATGGAAAAAAAAAAAAAAAAAAAAAAAATGATTTTACCCCTGTTCTTATAGTGATGGGTACAGCAAGATATTGAGATTGAAAGGGATCCGAAAAGGATTTACATCGCTTCCCACATCGCATGCCGTCCATTAATAAGGAACTTTTACACTTGTGTGTAATTTTGATTTCTTTTTTTCTTTTGCAATTCCGCCAAAAATAATTAAATTTTAATTCGCACACGCAAAGGGGAAGGAGGGAAAAAGAAAATTTTATTTGTCTATCTTAAGCGAGCATTTTTCCAGATTTGTTACAATCTTGCAAGGGGTCAAACGAGAATGGAATCAGATGAATGATTATACCAACTGGATGTGTACGTCCTGTCGTTGTGAATTTTCAAATGTGTTTTCTTTACTTGAAAGCGTTTTTGTTACGGATGTAACATCGAATATAACAGATGGATGACAAGAGATAAATGTAGCTAGAAATAGCATCAGGCATTTGCATTGCCTCGCTGGAGTGTTTTATATAAGCAACGGCACATTCTCATGCAATATCGCTTCGTCTTATATTAGATGTACGGGCCTTGAGAATCTCTGAATGGAATTAAGCTTTTGATATATCGGCCGAAAGTGCATACGGTATTCGTCACAGTCGACAAAGGGACATCTAGATAGGAAACCGAAATGAAGAGCTTATGTGGCCGAAATAAAGTGAAGTAATCTCCTATTAGAACAATCGTAAATCATGGTTCGAGTGGTACCTTAACATACCCCAACATGTCTTGGGCAGGAGGATGTTTTGTATTCTGCGGAATATTGAAATTTCTTGACACCTATAAATCTACAAAGTCACATTAGCGTTTACCTGTGCTATAATAATATTAATTTTTTTTTTTTTTTTTTAGGGTACATACATACGCATACATACACATACCATCATATACATACTTACCTAAACAATACGTTTATATATGTTACAAATATTTACTAATACATTTAACCTACACACATATATGTATTTCAATTATGATCAATAGGACTATTTATGTATGTAAATAAATCAAGCAACACTAAGAGTGTTAACGAAAAATAAGAAAAAAAAAGCAAAAAAAAAAAAAAAAAGGAAAAAAAAATAAAAAAAAAAAAAAAACCCCAAAAAAAAAATTTATAAAAAAAAAAAAAAAAAAAAAAAAAAAAACAAATGAACTGACATGAACTTGCAACAGATATGATATAAGTACGTAACAATTTCGAAAATGATTTTTTCAAATTAATTTTTTCTTTTTTATTACTGTTGATTGTGTGGTATAAAAATGCAAACAGTTAAACAGTAATTTGTCGTTTTTATAGGGAAAAAGAAAGAAGAAAAATCCATCGATATTCATATATATATATATATGAATATATATATATATATATATATATATAAACGAATATATACTAAAAGTAATCGAATATAGGTTTATTTGTAGCAAATTCGGTTGCAAGATAATAAGTATACACACACGCACACAAACACATACGCACACAAACGTGCACACACGTACACATGTCACGCAGGCATTGGCGCATACATCCACGCATGCATACAGCAGTAGGCATTACGCACACAAGTACATAGCCTGTGGTAGAATTGGTTAATTAGGAACATACAGATAAAACACACACACACATACATACGTACACACACACATACATACATACACACACGCACGCACGCAGGCACATAAACGCAAACCCATCCACCCGCGTACACACACACACACACACACACCCACACACAAACAAACAAACACATAAACAGAGGCACAGCCACACACACGTTCGGACATACAATGAAGTACATAAATATAAGAAATGTATATATATTTGAAAGTGATCATAACACAACGCAACGCAACACAAACGAAAACATATATCAAATAACTGAGAAGTAAAAGATCTATATGTATATTTATATAATTATATATATATATATATATATATATATATATATATATATATATATATTGTATATATATTTATATATATGAAAAAAGTTTAGAACACACACAGAGAGAATTTATTAAATTTTACAAACACACACACCGAATTACATAAGAAGATGACAAGTTTGTTCATGTGTTTGTCAGTTATGTATTATATTTTTGTAAAATACATTTTTGTAAAATCATTAAATATTAAAATAAAGAAAATAGTTTTTTTTTTTTTTTTTTGTAAATCCAAACAAATAACAAAAAAAATATATTAACGAATATTTTGATGGTAAGTTTACACGTGGATCCGGGAATGTACAAAAATTAACTGTAAAGTAACTGTTTGATTTCAATAAAAAATGCTCTTTGTGAGTTTTACCCGACTAGAATGCCGATATATTGTAATGTAATTTGAAAATTGAGAAAAGAAAAAAATTGAATTTTTCCGATTCTGGTTTGTTTTCGATGGAAAGAGGACTTAAGCTCATGTATGTATTAAGAGTTATATGAATATTTATGTATAATGAACTGTTAGTGTTGTTAAAAGGGAGATTAGAGCAGGAACAGATATATAAATTTGTATATACATGTGTGGGTGTACGTGACGGCTATCGATGAAGAAAGAAGGTTGTGAGAAGAGGAGATCAGACTATGAGATCGACTGTGTATCTTGTTTAAGTTCTTTGTTAATTACGGTTTTCAGTTTCAGTTTCAGTTTCCAAATTATTCACTTACAATGTTTAACCGGCGCAATTTGTTAGTTAACACTTTTCATAATTTGCTCTATATACGCAGTTCATAACAAAACAATTGCCATTTTCCTTGAAAGCATAAATTTTTCTTTCCTTGTTTTAATTTGATACGTTTGTCGTTAATCGAAAGTCGATTTTACAAATTTCTTTCCTAATGACTATACAAAAGCATTTTACCTGATGCTGTGATCAGAAAATTGGACTCAAGTTACAAATGCGTAAACAAGTAAGAAAGTTATCTTGGATAAGCATCACGACATTTACTCTGCATAAAATTGCCATACAAGGTATATCAAGTTTGTGTGTATACTTGTAATACGTGGAAGGATTTAAGATTGATTCAGCACGATTTTCTGAATCGATTAAAGCCTGTCTAAAGTCGGCTGCATATCTGATTGTCCGATGTCTTTCTTTTCTTTTTAGATCGATAGATCTAAAATCTTGAGATATTTTCATGAGAAATTTGATGTGCACATCTATCCACTCGCATACAAACAAATAAACATACACACATAAACACATACACACACACACACACATACACACACACAAAGCCACGTGTCCGAAATGGAATGACTCATCCTTCGAGGAACGCATCTTCAATGTAATATTGGACTCGAAGCACGCCAGAGAAGAAACTGGCAGCCAACTCGCGCAAGCCGTGAATGATATTCTAACTGAGGCATGTGACACAGCTATGTCGAAAAGATCCGCAGAGAGTAAAAGAGGGAATCCCTGTTACTGGTGGAACAAAGAAATATATTAACTTAGGAAGGACTACTTGAAAGCTAGAAGGGACGTAGTGTGGTCCAGGGGCTGATCAGACTTCGAAAGCAAGTATCATTTGGGCTTTAATTGAGCTGGGACTATGCACGTCAGGCTTAAAATAAACTTTTTTGCCCTACGTTCGTTACTGGTCTAATCGGAAGCAAATATTTTGTCCACTCTTAGATTGAGAATTAAAGCTTCAAGTGAAAGGTCTTGACGTTTTCCTTAGTAAAGCGCTTTAGAGTCGGACTTCGACGATACTAACCCTATCCAAAGTACGCCTTTGGAGAATGACGGTACATTAATAGAGTCACAAGTAATTTCGTTCTAAATTTGAACTAAAATTTGGAAAAAACTGGCGATCTTTCATAATATTATTTCGACCAAGGCGCTAAGGTTTGGCAGGCTTGTGAAAAGTTCGTTTTGGGGGAATCGTGCATTAATGGGCGGATGGAAACTGAGCCAGCGTACCGGTGCGTCCACCGTACGGGTCCTACGGATGAACCCGTGTTCATCATCTTCGCTGCTGCGATGTGAACGAAGGGGTAAAGACGGCTTTCGAAAAATAATCCTTTTGAAAAGCACCTGAATTAAATTGTACGCCACAACATTTTCCAAAAGCGCTATGGATGGAGAGGATATAATGGTTTTATCAGATAAATAGCAAAAGGTTGTCAATCGAGGCGGCGCAAATTTGAGTTAGCTGTATTGGTGTCAATTGTTTTTATAACGAATCATATCACGATGTGACTGTCAGTCGCTCATGACCATGAAGATAATAATCAAAACGTAATTGCTTTTGCTTAGAGTTTAAATTCACATGATAAACAAACAAAGTATATGTACATATAAAATGTTATACACACGTGATATATATATATATGTATTTTTTCGAGACGCAATATGAAATAATCAAAAAAATTTAAACTCAAAATTTAAGTATAAATCAAAGATATATCGTGTTCCGGTTAGGATAAATACATTTTTTTTAAATTAAATAAAACAAAAATGCGTTTGAATTATGAAGAGAAAATGTCATGAATTTTTTCCTTCACGTATATGTATTTGCGGTTATTTAACGCGGATTTATAACGTGGCGGCACATAAATTCCAAGATATTTTAAATATTTGATGCAAATAGAATGTTTAAATATCGTACATTAACGGAACCGTAGTCATCTTTTTATGGAAATCTTTTTTGCTTTGCACTCAAATAAATTAATTACATCGACACTGCATTCATAAACGATTAATATTAGAATTTATTGAGAATAAACAAAAATAATTCATTCCAAGCGATTTATCATTTTCGTCTTGTTACATATGCGAAATGCTTTCGCAAATAGGACAATCAAGTTATGATCTGTGAATTGTTCAGATGCATGAGCCATAGACAAGCCTTTAAAATGCAGTTGCAAAAGTAATTTAGTTTACAAGCTCAGCTTAGTAGAGAGCAATCAAACAAGTCAAGCGCCTTGAATTTTGATGCCAATAAAATAGGTATTACAGAAGAAGCCACAAAGCTCTTTGAAGCGAACCATTTTGGGCAGCCACTAACATCAAAAGGAACATAAAAATCATTCAGTTTTCTTGGTTTTTTTTTTATTTATTTATTTATTTTTTTTTTTTTTTATGCTAATTGTTGGCTTAGTAGGAAGTTAATGCAGTTTTCTTTGCAAGCAGAGAAAGAAGCTTCTCATTTCATTTATGATGCAATGGCTTAATGGTAAATTATTTGAATAAAGATGTTTACGATAATTTTGTTTATTTTAGCAAACTTTGCTGCTGAGGGTAGATTTTTGACGCGTTCAGGGCAAAAAAATAAAAAAAAAAAAAACACCTAATTTTTTAACTTAAGCATGCGTCAATTTAATCATTTTAGCTGACCGGTACTCGGCTCCAATAGCTGCGAGAGCTCAGCCAACCCACGGACTATTCTAAATATTCTATTCTAGATATTCTAAAATAGTGTTCGCTATTGTATCAGTCAACAAGTATACACGAGCAATTCGTCAAAAAGTTCAAGTATATTGAATTGATTTGGAGATGCCCGTCAGATTGTTTATCTATCCGTTGTTAAAAAACTCAAATTTGCTTATTGTAAGCAAAAACCGGTAATGTACCGGTAATTAATCTGCAGCCTGTGTTGGTCGGACATCGGACTGGGTTTCCGATCGATCAACTGACTGATGGTCATAATTTAATGACTTTCTTACTTGTATTTTCCTAAATCAGTAATTTACAGTATGGCTTAGCCAGTTAACTGTGTCGACCTCTTTAGCGATATACTCGCATAAACGGCGAACACAGACTATCTATAAGATGAAAGATAGGTTGCCATAAATCGACTTGACAAAACGAAAAAAATATTTTCTATATTTCTCGTATAAAAACTTTCATAATGAACAAAATTTTGTGGAGAAATCCGATAAGGACGGATGGACGGATCATTATGTATATACTTCTCGTACAATTTTTCAAATATTTAATAATGTGATCCTTTTCTTGCATCAGTTACAAATGTTATTTAACTGATATCTTATTCAATACAGTATTTGAAAAGTGTATAAAACAAGAAAAAAAAAGAGAGAAATCTTCCTTTCAGCGAGAAAGCTGTAATTGTTTTGTCTCGAACTTTTGTTAATATTTATTATTATTATACCTTTTTTTTTTCTTTTTTTTTTTTTGTTAAATATATATATTCGTTATTAGTTTAAGTGTTTTAGAAGAATTTTTTTTTTATTTTTTTATTTTGTTTTTTTTTTTTATTATATGAATAATAAGTATTATTGTAACTATAGAGAGAAACTAGTTTGCATTACCTGTGTGACGGGATTCTCCCCGGGTCGGTAGACAACGTTGTGCTGTGGCCGTTTGCGTCCCATATAATTGACACATACAAATTCCAGGAGAGAGGCGTAAATAAAACACATACATACACCGTCCCAAACATTCATGGCTGTCAGATTCGATACGACCGGCAAGGTACTGCGGAAACCATTGGATGTGGTGAAAAAATTCAACATTGTTGTTACGCCTTTGTTGTTTTAATTGTTGTCGTATTGGCGTTTTGTTGTTTAATTGTCGGAGATATAATTGTTGGTCGATTGGTTATTGTTGTTATATTGCGAATTGCACGAAATATAATAATAATAAAGGGAGAAATGAAAAAAATAAAAAAAATAAATTTGAATAAATAAATAAAATTGAGATTAAAAATTTATCGGATAATTTTAATATGTGTAAATGTGCGTGTAAGGAATAACATTGACATATTAAACATTAATAAGTGTACGGGTAAATGTGTTTGTCTGTTTGTCTGTGCCAGTATCTGTGTCTATGTCTGTGAATGTGTGTGTGTGTGTGTGTGTGTGTGTGTATGTGCGTGTTATGTATCACAATGTGTATACATATGTTTGTATGTATCTATGTACGTATATAACTATGTATGAAATGTGTAATGCACAAACTATGTGAGATGACATGTATTTTTTTGGGTGGAAAACGAAAAGCCTTGTGAAATTTTTTAATAGTAAATAAATAAGGGCGAACATAACCTGAAATATTAAAATAAAAATTTCAATTGTATGCGATAAAGAATATTATTTGAGAAACGCATATGGATATGTATATGTACGTATATGTATGCGTATGACAATGGTGTGTATACATGAAAAAAAAAAAAAAAAAAAAAAAACAAACAAATTATCATCATTTACAAAACGTAATTGAGTAACGAACGGAACTGCATGGATAACGAGTTAAAATTGATGCCATCGCAAAGTAGCATAAACGTGTATGTTGGTAGCATCAGGCATAAATTAAATATTGCACATAAAATATGTATAAATGTACACAAATACGCTCTATTATGTAAGGGATTGACTCAGCCATTCATTTTTAAATTTTTCGTATCTTTTTTTGGTTTTTTTTTTTTTTTTTTTTTGGGGATTGTCAAAAGTTGATAAATGCAAAATCTGCTTACAAAATATTTATTATACAGCCTTTCAACTTTAGTAACAGTTGTTAGCCAGCAAATGTTTTTTAATGTGCCATAAATAATTTGAAAGCAGATTTTTCATTAATCAACTTTAGTGAAGGAGCCACCGAGTGAAAGCGTATTACGATTTGGATTTCATTGATAATTCAACAAAAATATTAATATTTCTCTGTTCTCCTAGCAATACGTCATTAGTGATGGCGCTATCAAGCGCCCGAAAGCAAAGAAACCTATTAACAAAATTCTACTGTGACCGAAACTCGATTAGTTTTTGGGAGATTTGAATGATCTTTTAATGCCGCAACAACTATTCGCGATGAGAAGCAAAGTCTGATATGATATCCTAAAGTAATCGGTTGTCTAAATAAGTGCTTATCATTTTGTCTAAGAGGTGACGTTACTCTGTCTTTCGGCAGTTGCCAAATTCAGATAAGTTGAAGTCCGTGTGAAAGAAAAAAATAAAGTGAAAAAGCCAAATGCGACAAGCTTCACTTGCCATGATTAACTCGAAGGCTAACGCTGATGAATCGTAATCGGGTGATGATCAATGATGATGATCATTATGATTTCTTATACTCCAGTGTGCAGACTAAGCAAACTATCAATTGCATGGGCGTTAAAGCTGATTTCTCAAAACGTACCTACAATACGCTAAGAATAACAATATCGCGACTTTTCAGTACGCACAGCTTCATGAGGAAATGTCAGCGCTATTGAGCGGAAATTTACTACGCTTATCAAATGTTAACCGTTCTTAATTAACCCAGTCTTCAATCAATAGCTTATTTTTTGTTCAATCAGACCATCGATTCTTTTTTTATGGCGATAACATATACCCTTTCGCCCTGAAATTTGTAGATGCGAGAGTCGCGTATTTAACACTGCCGAATGCTTTCAGTGAAACATTTTGATCCGTCTCTCGAAATATGAAATTTTCTTCGTAAAAAAGAAATTTTTTTTTTTTGTCTGGAAAAAGCGTATGAATTTATTTGAATATCCGATATGTTTGATTATAAGAGGTTAGCTTGTTGATTCGTATCCCAATTTAACAATTTCAAAAACATACATACAACCGTATATACGAAGATTTATGACGAATTCATATAATTTTATTAAAATTTTATAATAGGAAGTCTATCGTGAAATTAATTTTTTTTTTTTTTTTGGTGGTAAAGTGTGGCAAGAAAAGCCAATCTAAATCGCTCGAAAATGTTTTCTACCTAAGGACAGGGCCGTTGTCCTTTCCACAATATTTTATAACAATTAGCGAGTTCATAAACTGTAATAGGCATAGACTGGCTTCGTTGGTATGGTCAAAGCAAGAGCAATCGAAGATGTACCGTTTTCAGAACACGAAAGGCATTATTGGCACAGCAAACTTCCCTATTTAAAATATTAGAATGTTTTTATCATTGTGACAGCCGACACTGCTTGAGGTGTGAACTGATGATGGTGCAGGCGGCGTGAGCATTAATTTTCAGCGAACAGTTCCATTGTTAGTTATGTTTTTGCTTCGCTATGATAGTACGTACATTTTTTTGGTATATGGTACGTTTGGTTATTTGAATATTTATAATTACGAAGAATATATATATTTCCCCATTTATAATCCTGATGCTTGGTATTCATTTAGCTAATTCCAATAACAGAAGAACAAATTAGGTTAAATCGACTTGCAGCCTTACAGTGATAAGGATACCAATCCTTGAAGAGATTCCTAAGCTGCAGTTAATATAACTCCATCCTCATGTGGTAAATAGATGACATTTGTAATGTCATTGAGCGAGACCCACGATGTCTTTATAAACTTTATTAAGAGCAAATAAAAAATTGGGAAAAGACGACGCATACGTAGCACGGGAAATTCTGCACCGAAAATAATCTACGAAATTCTGTTGCGTGGATTTTAATACGCAATATGTCCTCGTCCGGAAGCTGCCATCATTAAAAATCAACTTTCAATTGATCGTATATAACCTGGTCATTGATTAATGTAACTCTTGATAAATACTTTGGATTTGAGTATTGAGTTGACACGGCTAGACTAAACGAAAAGTCTACAAATCGTTATTACGTTCGAAATCAAAATAATCAAAATTCTCTTAATTTGAAAAAAAAAAAAAATCCTTTATAGTTATAGTCTCACCAGAACGAACACATTTTTTCTTTATTTTATTTATTTATTCATTTTTTTTTTTTTTTTGGATTGACAAGAAAGATATTTGAATGGTCTCTCTGTCTTCCTCTCCATCTGTTTTCACTTAGCAAATTTTTCTAATGTGCGTCAATTGTGTGTGACGTGAGGAGAGGAACAAACAGATAGAATGTGAGAGGAAAACACCTTTCTTGTCGACCGCTTATTATATTACGGTTTTTGTCTAAGCCGTACTCGAATAATTGTTCACTGTACAGTGCGTATAACGAGCTAATTGGGCAAATGTGCAATGGACAAGCATGCAAGTTATACAGCAGGTGCAGTTAGAAAAAGAAAAATGGTAAACAATATTAAAATGAATTAAAACGAAGAAATTTATAACCAAAAGAATTTTCAGCGGCCCACAGAGAAATTGTGTGACCCGATTGTATAATCTGCGATGGGAACACTAACTAAAGATGGAAGGAACCTGTTTCTTTCTTTTTTTCTTTTTCAAATAATAACAATTAGACACTTATTTATTATTAAAGAAAAAAAAAAAAAAAAGAAACAATTTTTTTATATAATTAGAGAAAAATTTCGCTCTAAAATCCTATTATTTGATTTGCGCGATAGAGGAACTACAACAATAACTTTTAGTTACTTCTACATTATATATAATTGACATATAATCAACTACCCAGAACTGTATAAATAGACTATTGATGCATTAGAGATAGAGATATAAAGAGGTTTGCGTAACTTTACAAAACGACAGATAGTTTGGTTTGAAAACTATTGAAATCTTTTTTTTTTTTTCGTTTCTATTGAGTTATATTCTCATAAAAAAAATTATTTTTTTTTTTCATAACTTTTGTTTATTTTGGTTTTTATTTATTTATTTATTTATTTTTTTTTTTTTTAATAGATATCTACAGTTACAAAGATAGTGAGATTATGATTTACATACAATAACTACGTACCGATCATAACTCTGGCTGGCACTGCATTCCATTCCAGCCAAAATGTGATAAATGATGAGGTCACCAATATAATGCCCGGAATGAAAACGGTTGTAAAATAATAAGCACGATCTCTGGTAAAAGTCAACTCGACTTGTAGACAACTGTAATTACCTTTAAAGAACATACATACAGAAGAGACCATGAGGGCATCATCATCATCAAAGTATTCATTTTCATGATTTTTTTTATACATATACATAGGTTTGCATTTTGTTTTTTTTTTTTTTGTTTCCTTTTTCATACACATTTTCTCCCAGTACTTTTTCTATCTATATTAGTTTTTGTGTTCGTTTTTATTACATTTTTTTTTCCTCTTTTTTAGACGAAAGACTAAACACACACATACACACAAACGCGAAATATTAGGAGATTGGCAAACCTATTGCTCATTATATAATTGTGATATCAATGTATACATACATTCATATATACACGTATATCTAAATATGTATATATATATATATATATATACACATACACATTTAGGTTTATGTTATATATTTATATATATATATATTGTGTATATACATATGGATGTATTCATAAATATCCGTGGGCGAAGAACATAGAAAAGAAACCAAAAGACCCTAAGCTGCAATCCTGATTGTACCTAAATACCATTTAAGCCTGTTCACGATATTAAATTGTGAAAAAATTTTTAAATTTTTTTAAGAGGATTTAGTTTTCAAGTTTATATATATTTTTCTCTTTATATTGTTTCTTGTTTTAGCGGGTTTAAAGGGACTTCATGCAAAACATGTTTCGATAGAAATAGTAATAATGATCATATAATAAATTATATTGAAATTTTTTATTGCGGTGATTAAGAGATTAGATTGTTTACCTGAGTGTTGATTGGTGGTGTAGGAAATTGGTAAAAATTTCATATATATATATATCTGCATATACATATATATTTATATATAATTATATATATTTATTTATATATATATATATATATGTATATATATGCAATATATATATACAAATATACATATATAAATGTATATATAGATATATGAATATAAAAGAAAAACGAAAAAAAAAAATCATTGCAAACAATTTTGAACTACATTCAATTCAATTGGTTTACAAAATAATGAAATTATGGCAATTATGGCTTAGAAAATATGTTACGATGTTTATTACGATATAAGACAAAAGCAAACGGCGTATGAGAACGCTAAAGGTTGATCTACAATTGGGATGAATTTAACTGAATTCCTTATTTTTGAATTGATTCGGGTGGTGAGCAAACGTAATAAGGGTGAGAGCATTATTATAATTTTGTGTCATTTTTTTTTTTTTTTTTTTTTTTTTTTTTGATTCTTTTTAATTTTGTATAACTATATATATATATATATATATAGAAATCAAAGTAAAATCATAACGGAAGAAACAAGATATAAAGTAAAATATAGGTGTCAAAGATCGAAAAAATAACAAAAATAAGAAGAAAAACATGATTTCATGGATGTTGGTTTGATTTGTTGTTGTTTTATGAATTATGAGGTTTTTCCCCTAAGCAATACATATATATATATATATATATATATGTATATATATGTATATATATATATATTGTTTAATATAATTGAAAAAATCAACTCATTCAAAAAACTTATTTCATTGCTTCAATGCTAAGTTGATTGGTTGTTGATGGTTTTTATATATATTTATTGATTTTTCTTAGTTCTTTTTTTGTTTTTTGTTTGATTGACTGATTTGGTTGATTTTTACCTATCATAGATCTGGCCGGTACAGCATTCCATTCTAACCAAAATGTTATAAAAGATGACGTCACCAGTATAATGCCGGGTATAAAAACGGTGGTGAAATAGAATGCTCGATCTCTGGTAAATATTAAATCGACTCTAAGACAGCTGTAGTTCCCTTTAGAATTTTAATAAAAATTGGAATTGTTTGATTGACTTGGTGTTTGGAACATTAAAAGTTATAAAATATCAAATTAATTTGCAAAAGAAAAGAACACTTCTACGTATATTATTTACGGTTAGATCATAACTCAAATTAAGGCCAAAAAGCTAAACTACATAAAAAGAAATATAATTGATTTCTTTAATTGCATTTGTTTTCCATGCCTCTAAAATCTAATTTTGCTACATTAGATAAAATTTAAAAAACGATAATAATAATGAAAAATATATTAATCGTTATATAATCGTTTCATATGGCCAAATACATATGGTAACCAAACATTGTATAGATATAGAATGGCTTAAAATTATATCAAATGCCTAAGAATGATTCAGGTGAATGAAAAGAAATCGACAAATGACATAAAGTTATATATATATATATATATATAACTTCAGATGCAACGTTGCACTCGTTTTAACGCTTAAAGCAAGAAACGTAGAATGCTCTCGTAGTGTCAGCCGAAGCTTATCGACCAGGTGACCAGGCGACCAGGTTCAAAATAGCACTTATTTAAAATAATACATTGCTTGCTAATATTGCCCTCATACATTAAGGAACATTTTTTCACTCGGTTCGCTTTCATCTTGTATTAACCTAAGCAATATGCCAGTGCCACAACCCGAGGGCTTGCCAATGTACATTCGAGGCGCTTAACACTTGGCCTCGATGATATAATTCGATCTTTTGACCAAAATGCTTTATCATATAAGTATAAAGAGACCTCATACGATATATAAACGGCACTGCAGGCAAGGGGTTATCATCTTGAATTATAATATTTTACCTTGGAATTTTTCCTTAAGATTGTCGCTATCCATTTCTTGATTTACTCAGCAATGTTGCTTATTTTAAGGCAAGTCTTTAGCATCAAGGTCGTAGGATTTTTTCAACATTTACATGTGTTATATTTAAAGAATTCTCTTCGAACCGTACAATTTGAAAATAATTATTGAATATTTTTGAACACGCTTTCTAGTTAAAGTGATTGATCTTGAAGAAAAAAAATGTTTCATGTTACGAGAGTATACCATTTATATGCAGACAGTTAGTCGCGCCTGTCAAAACTTCATATCGTTTGTTTACTTTTGTTCGTTACACAGTCAGGTGAGAGTTTGAGTGTTAGGGCGACTCTTCTCTCTTCTTTCTATTTTATGTACGTGGGAAAAAAAAATCTGTCTTGGACAGTTTGCAAATTTAGAATGATGTTTAATATGCGTAAATATTGCTAAATAACTGCATTATTCTCAGAGCACATACTATTATATATCACTTTGGAGCCATTCGATAATTTAATCTATAAAATTTCTCGGTACACACTAGCGTTCAGCCATAAAACGCTACCGATTCTGTATCGATTAAATATTTTGTAAGTTAACTGAACGCGTTAAAAATTTTCAGAAATAATACATCAAAGGATATCAATTTGTCTTGCATGCAATAACTAATAATAATCGATTTTGGAAAAATATCAGCAACGATATCAGAGATTTGGTCAGAAAAATTATATCTAATGCGTTTCGTTTATTTAATTGTTTATTTATTTATTTATTTATTTATTAATTTTTTTCATTTTTTTAAAATCTCCTTTTACATATGTAAACATACGGATACATATGCACATGTATGTGATAAATATGAAATTAAAAATTAATATTCTACAGATGGTTTAGAAAAAATGATTTAAAGAAAAAAGAAGGATAAAAGGAAAAAAAAAATAAAAATAAATAAAAATAAAAATTTTCAACTACAAACAATTCGAACATACATACAAAGGAATTATTTATTAACGATAGGATGAAAGCTTACCTCTCCAACTGTTTTGATCACAGGCTGTTGTTTTATTTTCTATTAAATAGGCATTCAACGTTGTCAACGAAGGACTCTTACGTAAGGTAGTCTCGTCGTTTTTCCACACATATTTGATTTGAGCCTCTTCATACGATACTGTGCACGAAACACAACAACACAGCGCAGAGATGGTCAATGAATGAATTATACATGAATGCATATAAAAATTATATACATATATATACATATATATATATATATATATATATATATATATATAAATACAAATAGAGGTTCATAAAATACATACATATATAATTAATTATATATATATATATAAAATTATACTTACTACTTTCCATTGAGAATGAGCATTTCGGATCATCGAAGGGGAATATATGCAAACTTCCCTGACAAGATAATATCAAATGCCGTCTGTAATTACAAAAGTTATTTGAAATGCCAATAAGCTGATGTTCATACAAATACTCACACGATGCAGAATGCATCGAATGCGAATTTAAAGAAATATGAAAAGCTATCATTACAAATACATGTTCAGATGTTTTGCAACCTTGCCGTCTACAGCCTTCCTGTCTGTCTATAGAAGACTATTAATTGCATTAAGTTTTAGGGCAACTCGGAAGTGCCACTTCGGGAGGATTGGACGACGTACGTGCCTGTGTTGATCTAGCTCGTTCGTGAGATATGGGAGTGATTCTATATTTTTGACTCAATGATATTCCTCCGACTAATGCAAATAACGAACACACGGATAGGCGTAACCTAATCTAACGAGCGGGCATCCCTTATGCCCTTGGGCTTTTCTATACTAGCTCTGCCTATGTTCTCCTTCGGCCCATGATGTCTACGGGAGATCGCGAAGCTGAGCTCAACAGACCTCTCTAAGCTACTTTCCTCTCCTACATATTAAAATACTGTTTATTTATTTATTTATTTATTTATTTATTTTTTTTTTTAATTTTATACAGCATTTATTGCATTACAATGTATATGAGTTTTCGTTCAATTTATTTAATAGTAAATATATACATATGTATATATATGGATTATGTAACAATATATATGTAAGTAAAGATGTATATGAATATAAAATTGTACATATAATAAGAGTAAATAATCGTTCAATACAAATACAACTAATGCAAATATCGGTGGCAACATTTACATGTTTTTATTACACTCAGCTAGTTTCTAATTATACATCGTAAAGAGCATCGCTCCATGATTTACGTAATAGAAAGGAAGGATCAAAATCGTTCTTCAGCCATGTGACGTTACTTTCAGCAAAAAGAATTTGAAATAAATCCAAAAGATGCAAAATTATTGAGAAAATGATTCCAACCGAAATGTCTGGCATTAAGTGTTCATTCATTTGTTAAGAGATGTTTAACTCAGTTTGTCGCTCGATATTTTTCAATGAAAGCGTTATAAAGATTAATCGGGCTTTTCTGTGTATGTACACATGAACGAATTTTATTTCGTTTTTGAAAAACTTTTAAGACTGTTTAACATGTCGTTCATTCGTTCATCGATTAGTTGTTATTTTTATCTATTCATGTATTAACAAATTTCAAAAATTTCACAAAGAAACTTTCTCTCACCTTTTCGTTTCGTATACGTATAGTTTTAAATAAAAACTTCAAGCTCAATGAATTCTTCAAGGAGTCAATATGCAACCCAACGAAGTAACGCCCTTCGCGTTTATGGTACGATTGCAATTACAGCGTTTTAATATTTCGCAATTAATTATATTAATGTTACACAAATTCCTTCGAAAACCACTTCGACTTTGTAACAATGTGTACACATCGCCAATATTTACAACATAGCACTCTCTTCTTATTTACTCAGTAAGTGTTCGCTTAATTGCATATATTTTAGGAACAAATTCACATAAACTTTTTCATATTTGAACTCAGACAATTTTACCCTTCTTTTTATCGTCACAGGACAAGATAAGGCGAACGTCTTCGTTATCTCGCACTCTCGTTCATCTCCCCTATCTAGCGAAAAAAGCCCCGTAAAACTAAGTGAAAACACTATCTCCCGCTATTAACTCCCTTCGTTCGCGAACTTAACAAATTAAGTAATGCAGTGTTGCATTTTTAGTAAACGTAGTCTGTCAACACCACGCATTACAGTTTGGTATTAATTTTTCTTAAGTATATTAAGCTTAAAGACAAACACTTTCGATAGATTGCTCTGATATTGTGGTGACTCGCACCTCTTGATCGGTCATCCAAAAAAAAAGAAACAAAAAATATTTACATTGCAATGGCCGTTAAATTGATGCATGAATCCGTTAACAAACCCGATATTTGACGGTTTAAAGTAATATTGACCCGGCCACGATGCCACCGTGTCCCACACGGCAATGCATGATTTTTTATCGTTACTCAAAAAATTCTATTCGAAGTTGCATCGATTAGTGTATATCGATATCGAGAGAGTCTACAAAGCAGATAAATCATAACAGAAAGAGTCATCGGTATCAGGTGCATGAGCACGTTATTGCAGAGATATATTGCATTTTTAATTGATCGCGATTAATATATGAATGGTTTTAATTTTTTAAACGCATTTACACAGCATGCACGATGCTTCACTGTAAGATGTTTCGAGATGTGGAAATTTTATATTCGGCCACAACGACTCCTATTATACCCATTACCGTTTGATATTGATCAATAATAAAGTAGACTTTATATGGTCGCTGAAGCTTTTTTCTGCGTGTCGCAAACATTTCGATGAAATACTGAAATTTCAATATTCGATAATATTGAGAAGGTGTGGCCGATTGTTTCCTCTCGTCTACAAGTAATGAGGTTTTAGGTTATGTTCTGCTGTGGTGCAAGACTTTCCAATCTCTGTGACAAATTTGAAGCCAACTGCTGCATTCTCGCGACGAGGACAATTTTCATCACATCTATTAGAGACAGACAGACAGACAGACAGATGTACAAATGAAAATGCTTAAATCGGTAGATTTATATTTAGTTTAAACGGTCTCTAAGGCTTCGTCACGGTATTGGGCACGTCTTGATAATATGAACATACTTGTAATACTGCGCTTATGGGTTTAAAAAGTTGCATTGAATTCATTCAAAAAGCTTCTATTATAGTTGATTAATTTACATTATATATACAAACGAAAGTAAATATAAAAAATATATACATATATAGATTCATATATATATTCATATATTTATATATATTTGTTGATGTGTGTTCCGAATAAGCTTTTGCTCCGAACTATCAAATTAAGAAGAAAACGCATCGTTTTCTCTTATCACAGCGCCAGAATACGTTTTCGTAATTTTCAGCATGAAAAATTACGTAAGCGGGGATATTAATGATATTCATCCGTCGACGCGATATAGCTATAAAAGCGTTATTTTATTATAAAAATCCGTTGTCCGTTATTACGCTTATGTTTGAGTTTGTATCGAAATAATTTTTTTTGTTTTCTCCATAATTTCTATATTTTCTGTTATTTTCTTATGCATATTAATGGAACTCATAAAGGCGTTCATTAAAACGTAACGATGTCAGTGAATATAAAAATTATCATTTGTAAAAAGTGTTTAAATTGAATTAACATTGTTACATCGTTTATATGTAAATAATGGATGAAAATTGAATGGTTTTTGTTTTTGAAAAACATTATTCACATATTATTATATTTACTTACCTCATTGCGTACATAATGGTCCCATTACGATAAATTCTTAATGCAAAATGCATGGGTATAATGGGATCCTTAAAGTCGCCGTGCATAATGAAATAGGTGTCCGGTGTCCAGATGCTTTCATGATGATGCAACGCATTTAAAAAATCATAATGCGATTTGTTACCGTATTGCAAGCGTGGATCGTTCCACTGCTGATGCAATAAAAATTCAACTTCATATTTCTAATATTGGTAAAGAATTAGAAAAAGACCAGAAAAGAAAATTCTGTTAAGAATAAATAATTAAAATTAATATAATAAAATAATAGAAAAACGTTTACATAAACTTTGGAGAATTCATTAACTCAAAGAGAGTAAGCGAAGCCTAACTCTATTTAATGGGAAATCCCTCAGATTCAAAACTCAAATTACAAAACTTTTGTATACTTTTGTATTTCCAAGTACTACAAGTTCTGGAATCGGGCGATATTTACTTAGCAATTCACATACAAGAATAACTACAAGCTGCTCAGTTTTGCGCTCATTCATTTTCAATGTGCTCAATGCCATTAAAGCTCAAAAGTGCTTAATTGCAAAGTAACCTTCATCCCTCTAAAGGAACGGACAGAATAAAACCTTATACAAATATCTTTAAAAAAACAGTCTTAAAGGTGATTCAATATGCCCGATATTTGGCGGATAAGTAAATTAGTAATCGTCAATTTTAGTAAAGGCTGCCTTAAAGGGAAATTCCTAGTCTAGACAGGCCGTAAATTAGTGAATTTAATTATGTAACATAGATGGCTTTACTTAGCCAAGTCAATATCTCAATGATTAGCGAAAAGGTATTCGGTAAAGCAAACGATTATTTATATAAGATTTTTTGATCTTTTGATCAAGGTTTAGTATATCTTAAATTGCCTTATATATATATATAGTGAATTATAGTAGATCCTAAAAGCCTATAAATACTAAAACATCCTACGCTCCACATGATTGACTTCTAGCACAAGCTGCTATAATGCATTAAGCTTAACGTAAACTTTTTTTTTTTACTTTTCTTATTTTATTATTATATACTAATATGCGTATTTATAGTTACCAGACTGCTTTCATCAGGTGAGGCCAAGCTCAACAGTAATACATTAACATTTACCGTAAGTGTCCCTGAAAGAAATTTTTATTTTTTTTTTTTATATATACAATGGGAAAAATGTCACAATAAATTAAAACAAATGCAAAGATATCGTAAAATAAACGAAAAGAAACAAAAATTAGGAAAACAGTAAATAGAAAATCATTGAAAAATATTTTAAATTATTTGCGAACATTTTATTCGCCTATTGTGCGAATCTCGGATATCCACCATCTTAAGCATATTTGCAAAAAAAATTGTAAAGTATATGTAAGCCATCGGACTGTCAAATAACGCTAAATCAATTTATTTATATCATCAGGTTGTACGTTGTTACCGTTCTTGAGTGTATAGGAAAACTCATTGTTGAAAGTTCTTTTCTTCAATACTTTTTTTTGCGTAATTGTGGAGGATGTTGTTGTAATAAATTTCCGCTTGAAATCTCATCTGCAGAATCAAATGTGTTTGGCTTTAGATTTCCGTTTAAATGAAGCACGCTGGAGTTGTAGAGGGATTTCGAACAAATACCGTTTCACTTAACGACAGTGACTACGTTTATAATTATCAAATTTAAACAAAAGAAACAAGATTGTAAGGCAATTAATTGGCTTGTGGTTGTATTCGATCTGAGCATTTTATATGACTACCTTTGAATCTATCTAATGTGTTTCTGCTTATCAGAAATTGTCTATTATTATAGTTCACATGTGCATCGATGAACCCGTAAATAACACATATTTCGTCTTAACAACGAACACAAAAACTTATCAAACGATTTAAAAAAAAAAAAAAAAAAAAAAACACAAAAAGGATTCAAGCGCTTTTGTTTTTTAACACAATTGTAATAACATTAACTAATATACGATTAAATAGTACATATATATTTTTCTTTAATATTTCAATAATATTGAGTTCAGATCCATTTTGCATTTCTACTTTCTAATATATCCAACAACAATAGTTTTTTCTTAAGGAAAAAACACTAAAGACAATTACACTATATTCGGCATATGTAGCGGCTCGATGCGTGTATGTCTCACACTATGCACCCTTGACATCTTGAAAGGTGCACAAATGCTTTGGCGTTTGCTCCAACTTTGCCAACTGACAAGTTTGTGATATGAATTCTGACAAATGGCGAGCAATGGCGTATACGAACAAGCAATTTTGACGAAAAGCGAGTGCTCTCAACTTCATACAGAACTGAAATGGACTTTGCCTGAATGATTATAAAAACATTAGCTGTATGTTGCTTAGTTTCCATCTCTTATGCGTTTTATTTTTTTTTAAGTAAATAGCATTCACTTTTATTAATTTCATAATAGCATTATAAATGATCTTTTTGGGATCACTTTAATGTTCGCGTTATTTTAATTTATTTTGCTTTTCTCGGAAACGAAATGAATTCCTCTTTTACGTTATTCTACAACACACGTTGTGCACATAAGTCGGCAAAGCGCGAAGAAAAAATGATAAGGTAAGACGATACGCTTTCTAAGGGGGTGGTGTTTTTAGAGTGTGTAGTGTTTAGTGTTGGCCACGAGTGAAATCGTTTAGTTATGTAGTCAAAAGATTTGTATTAAGGTTTTCATTTCAATTTATGCCATTTATGTGTGCATAGGGCTGGAAACAAAATTCCATACCATATATGCATCAAAATTCAAATACAATATTCTTCTATTTGAACCAGTTAACTGTGTCGATCTCTTTCATTATCTGATTGTGTAGTCGTGAAATCCAAGGATTTGACGAAATGATAAAAATATTTTTTTAAGTACATTATTATGGCAAATATACATACATTTTATGAGGTAACCCGGCAAGGACGGACAGACAGATTATGATATATATATCCCTCATATGCAGTTACACGGTTAAATGAACTTGTTTAGATCGACAAACACACGTATATGCTGGTAAAAGCATTAGCATGACCCTGGATAGCCTGGAAGATATCTTAAGTTTGTGCGCCGAAAAATGGTTCTCGCATGAGACCTGGACTGGTTTCCTTCAAGACAAATTATTGTATACGGTTTGTACCAAGCTTTGAATATTCGTCATCTCAAGCTTATAAAAAAAAATTTATTAATTATTTCGTTCCTTATGTGTATTGAATCTTGTGATGAATCCGAGAACAGCCTTCGGTGAATTGGAAGTCACATTTATTTGCTTATTGCACTGATACGATATGAATGTTTGCACTATGCATTTAAAAGACTTTCGAAAATATTTTTACTGAAGATTTTACAAAATTGGAAGATCATCTATTAAAACGGCACTTATGGCTCGAGTATGGCTCAATTAGATTCGCGCTAAGTAATGACAAATAACAGCTAAACGAACAGACGAATAGACACAGTAAACCATTAAATGCATATTTCTGTATATTATTTACAAACGGAAGGACAATTCGAGTATAGCGGGATCCATTGATAGTGGGTACGAGAAGAACCATGAGAAGAGCCATGAGCATCTTCTTATGCTGTTATTGAGAAAAAAAGAATTGATTTTTCCTACTCTGGCTTAAGAGGGGGATGTCACTGTAATACAAATTAAGAATCAATTTAGTATAAAAATTATCACAATTTTATTCTAAAATTAAACTCTATAAAAATTATATAATAAAATTAATATAACACATACATATAGAAAAATTGAATGTACAAAATTATTGTTATAAGAAATATAAGAAGAAGAAGAATTTTGAGAGAAACTTGAAAATTCATATCGAGCCAGAAAAAGAAAAACGAAAACGAAAACGAAAATTATATAAGTTAATTGAACACACATATACACAAAATTGAATATAAAAAATTTTGGTTTTTGTTTTTTTTAGTGATGCATATAAGGGCTTGGAGACAAACCCGTGAATTCATTTTGAATGAGAAAAAGAAAACCGAAAATTGTGTCTAAGGTTAGCTGAAAAACAAGAACACAAACCCCGATGATGTGGTCTTCGGCTATTTTCTATTGTAACCATTTCCGGCGAAGATAATCCGCAGCAAAAGTCTTCATCTGTAAAATTAATTTTATTTGTTAATTTAATTGCATTGCTTAGTGGACATAAATTTATATATAAACAGTTAACAATCTACACAGAAAAGTGTTCAAATGCTTGTGAGTTTCATCCCATTACATGAAGGATTGCTACGCTCTCCCCCAGGCACTATGTAATGAATATTTGGAAGGAAAAAAAATTTGTTGAAATTTGCGAAATTTGAAACGCGGATAGATGTTTATGTAAACATATTCATAAACAAAATGCAGCATTTTGTTATTAATAGATGCTTGTGCATAATGGTTAAATTCCAAGATTTTGACCTTCCTATACATAAAGTAATGTGTTTCCATCTTCTGTTCTTATTATCCTATGTAGTGCATAGAAGGCGCTAATCATGGAACGCTCAATATTCGATTTGCGGCATTCATTAGCAGGCAAAAAAAGAGAACTTTCTATGGCGTACTACGAGTGGCGACGAAATGTGGCTCCACTACGACAATTCCAAGTGAAAATAGTCGTGGTTTAGTCCAGGAGAGCATCCATACCGACACCGAACCGAAATGTTCATGGCCATAAAGTTTTGCTATAGTGAAGCACGAGGCAAGGAGTAGTGTATTACGAGCTGCTAAAATCGAATCAAAAGATTGCTGCAGATGTCTACCGACGTCGGTTGGACAAATTGAACGATGTACTGCTGCAGAAAACCGAAGCAATAGCGGTTAACCGCAAAATTAAATCGTTGGCTTGCATGACAACGCTTAGCCGCATATTCTAACAGTTGGTAAGCATACACTGTTACAGCTCGAATAGAGGATCGCGACTCAGCAGACAAAGCGGCTTCCAATTATCACTTGTTAACATCGAAGCGCCTTGACTTGGCTCACACAAGCGATTTCGAAATGCCGAAGAAGTGCGAAAATGGATCGCTGCCAAGCAATATCGTTCTTTCGATATGGTGCCGCTATAGTGCGCCAAAGATGGGGAGAAGTTGTAGAAAATTGTGCAAAATATTTCTATAAACAAATATTGGAGCAACTTTTCTCAATAAATGCCTTTTTTAAGTGAAAATAACCAAAGGACATGCAGGCACCTAATATGCAGAGAAGGCCAATGTATAGTGTGTGTAAATCTTAAGGCAAGCCCCGTCTTCAAAACGGTGCAGAAAGTCTCAGTCGGGGATATATTAATTTCATTAATTTCCCACAATAAAGAATTCTAGATAGAAGTTCAGCTTTAAACAATTAGAATATGATGAAATCACGCGCATCTTGCAAACATAACCGAAAGGTTTAACGAAAACACACATGTCGTCCATTTTAGTTGTCCAGCGATAGGTATGCAAATGCATCAGTTCCTGGCTTCTATCCAACTTTTTTTGTTACATTCACTTTGAGAATGTGAACAGTGAATAAAACAAACAGATGAGCTTTTAACGAAGTAGATCTGCAGTCAGCGTCACACCAATTAGTGCGTGCAGCATTCCAGTAAATTAATAGAAATTTAACTTTAACTTATAAGCACAAATGTCTCCAGTACGAGTATATCTCAAATTGAGGTGAACTGTCCATGTAAATGTTCAGTGTCCAGAGCACTTATGGGATATATTGATTTATGATAATTGGCATAAATTGCAAAGGTTTCCAAATTATTTTTTCACCACACACCGAAGGCGAATGCTAGCCACATTAAATTGATTAAATCAAAGCAACGAAATATGAAGAACATAAACAAAAGCTTGTCGTAAAATAATTTTCAATTTCTTTTTTGTAAGAGTCTCATTTAATTTTTATTAAACAACTATTATATGGACATGGGAACGGTAAATGGTAACGGTAAAGCACAAAAATTGTTAGGAAGTGAGGGCGGCCTTCGTCATTTCGCATATTGCTAGCAGTTTTTGGAAGTAAATGAGTAAAGCTGAGTAGAATAGAGTAGAGTAGAGTAGAGTAGAGTAGAGTCTTACGTAAACGTTTCGTAGGAAAACAATGGAAAATGTATGTTATGTGTTTAGGGCGGTGCTGCCGTATTCAACAGGGTAAAGCTACTGAAATTGAAACAACAGGCGGCGGCAAATTGATTATTTATAGTTATGCACTTATAAATTGATTGAATATAATTCAATTCATTTATTTATAAGCAATTAATTAAATTTGATTACATCCATGATGCAGAGTTTATTTTGTACTTTTGAGTTACCACCAAGCACACTATTTCAAATAACTAATATAATTAAAAATGAACACACGTACATTCGTTACGCATAGACATATGCCATGTGCCATCATCACAACGTCGTCCGTACATTGAGTGCAAGTATCGGGTATAAGCTCTTGCAAGTAGACATGTTTGCATTTATTGCATTTATATATATATTTATATATGAATGGCATGAATACATGTGTAGCATATATATATAAATAAATCTTACACGAAAAATGCTTAGTTTTAATAAAACAAAAAACATATTAATAAAGCTTTCCTTTGTACGATGATCCGATAAACGTAATTGAATTATAGAGACATGGTGTTGGGTGTTTACCATATTTAAAATGATATCCTACTTACCATTGACAGGCGGTAGTAAACGTTTGTCGTAACGTTTTTTCTCCAATAATAAATCCAAAATTTCCTTATCGGAGCTTGACTCATCGAATCTAAAAGTAAACAATTAAAAATTCGTAGCACGAACAAACAAAAGGATCAAAGACAAAAACAAGAGCAAGAACAATACTTTCATTGTCGTTTGATTACTATTGAAGAACGCATACAAAAGCATTCTCGTTTAAGAAAACCGAGCCAAATATTTTTACAAATGAACATAACGTGTTTTCATTGTGCGACAATTAGTTTGTGTCACTATTATGACGAATCTTGCAAGCGACGATAAAAACAATTGATAAACGAATGAATTGAACATGAATGATGATGATGACGATGACGATGATGATGATGATGATGATGATGACGCTTGTTTGTATTTGAACATTTAAATGAGTCGCGCGCGTTACTTTAGCAAATGTCATTGCTGCGAAATTATTGGATTCAATCAGTCAGATGATAATAATTTGATGCCTGTTAATATATTACATTTTTCTTTGGAATATAAAGAAATATAATAATAATAAAGTAGTTACTATGAAATTGAAATTAAATACAAACATATATATTTATTGTAAACACTTCCAGACGTAGACTGGGTCATGTAAAAGGAGCCGGCGGTTTTTTCCGCGGTTTCAAGCATCGCTTTGCAGCCTGTTCTTTTGAAATGATTCCAAATTGTTGTATGGCTGATCTTTAACGCCCCTCCCCTCCCATTCTAGACAGCTTGAGTACCGGTTGTCCTAAACCAGTTGCAAAATTTCATCGAATTTCGGAACGGAATCGAGCAAACCACTCCTGCACTCTTCAATATATACGTATTAACACCATTCCGTGGAAAAAACCGCAAAGACTTCCTACATGACTCAATAATAATAATAATAATAATAATAATAATAATAATAGTAGTATAAATTGATAATTGGTAAGACATCATTGCGTAAACAATTTATAAACAAACTCTCTAAGCAATTTCTGTTGTGGGTATCGAAAAACTAATTATAAAACATAAAGCAGTAGATTTTAGATTCGATTTTATGAAGAAGGAAATATTTTCCAAATTCATTTCATTCGCCGCCAGAGTCCATGAGAGTGAGATGAGAGTAGCGGATATGATAATTGAATGACATAGGGCTGAAATGTTAGGGCCTTCTTAGATCTCTATAGTCGTTTAAGCGAAAAGACAGATTAAATTATGTAAGAGAACAAAGCAAAACGATATTGTGCTTAAAGATTATGCTAAGAGAGATTATTGATCCTCTATTAGCCATAAAGCTCTAAGATATCTGCGCGACGTTCCTTTCATTAATTAAATTGTTCACGTCGCAAGCTAACACTTGAGACACTAATTTTTTGATTATTTCAAGCAGATCATGTTTGAAGAAGAGTGTTATGATTCTTTAACAAATCAGCTGATGTTACAAAGTGAAAAATTTCAATCTATTTCCATGTAATGGTTTCGTGTATGCATTTAAAATTTTGAAAAGACAAATCGATCGCACGCATTCATTACGATATACACGTTCGCAATTTAAAAAAAAAAAAAAAATTCTTATTACACATCAAGATGCAAATCAAAATATATGAGAATGATTCGAGCCCGTTACTTTCTTTGCGCGAACGGGTGCACGTATGGCCACTCGAGATGAATAGACGAAGAGACAGAGGAATTTGCAAACAAAACGGTATGCATCGAATGAATAAATAAAAAATAAATTCTGATAAATACCAAGAATGAATTTCCTTCCCCTCAACTATGAAGTGGAAGTGCAAGCCAGAACGGGTTCTGCTCGTAACGGCACATAACAATTTTCTTGTATGGCTTTCTTTAACATCGTTTATTCTCATACGACAAGCAAGATAAACAAACAGCATGGTGCAATTGATGGCAGGATGATATAATACAGAGTGTAGCGGGTGCGAGATAAACGATAACGTGATGGGTGTACCAAGTAAACAGGGAATGAAAGATAAAACTGGGGTATAATAAACAAACGAATAATTTTGATAAGCAGTAGTAATATATAACAGATATTGGAGAAGGGCAATTAAGTGTAATCAACCGATGTTTCGTTTGTGATCAATTGTGTATTGATGTTGTTCAGTGTTTCTCTATCGGAATTGATAACGATGTTAGCTACTATTTGACAAACTTAAGTTAACCTAAAACGTCCCAATCGTTTTAGGAATATATTTGTTTTAGTATTTGTGCCACTTTCAAATCTTGCATCCATCAATCTCGTAAACTTAATCAACTTAAAGACCATAAAAGGATATTAGGAAAAAAAAAAAATAAAAATGAAGAAACACAAAAGAAATTTTTTTGAAATGCACTTACTTCGACCAATCGATGGCGAGACTGGAATTGAATTTAAAAAAAAAAAGATGAGAGTGAAGATTTTAAATAAAAAAGAAAAAAAAAGAAAAAAGAAAACTGTACGTACGCGTTGTAAATAGTGTGAAAGGCAGTGTCAGATAAAATTATTATAGTAACATAAATAAAATAGAAGTAAATAAAATGAAAAAAATTAATAAATAAATAAATTTAATTAAAAATACAAACAGGCTGTGGCGTTCACGTAGTAAATATTTTATGAGTATGTATTTGACCCGTATATGAAGTTTATGGCAATGAACGTGGTGCGTATACAATCGTTTATATATATATATGTGTATGTTATTGTGCCTTTGTAACTGCTCTAATTATAATGGCATATTGATAGTATGATAAAACGATGAAAGGAAGAAATTAACGAATAAAGCTGATAAATATTTGTGTGCGTGTGTTTGTGCATTTTTGAATGGGTCAACGTATATATGTACAGAATTAACTTACACTGGATGCCTATCAATAGATGAGGTGTCCGATTTAGCAGCGGCAGCTGAGGTCGTGGTGGTCAAATAGCATAGAACGAGTATTACGCTAGAGGCGGTGTAAAAATTAATCGAATTACGTAATAGATGATAGTAGTTGTGGCCGATGTAGTTGAAAGCGGCGGTGGCAGAAGCATTCGTATTTATATTGCTAGTTGTGGTAGTGGTGGTAGTGTTGGTGGTGCTGGTGCGGCGGGTGGCGCTGGTGCTGTGGGTGGTGCGGGGGGTGCTGTTGGTGCTGGCGTTGCTGATTGCATTTGTATTTGCGGCCGTGGCGGAGCTGTGACTTTGGCTAGGATTGTTGGAAATGTTGGCTTTTCCATTGCTTTCTTTATTGTTGTAATTATTATTATCATTATTATTATTATTATTATTATTATTATTATTATTATTATTATTATTATAGTTGTGATGGCGCTTATTTGAGCCAATGGCATTATGGAGATGAGAGCATGGTTCAGACTTGAATTTATATTTTCTCTGGTAAAAGTCTCTGTTTGCCCCCTCCGATGGTTTACGAGTGTAATGCTGATATTGCTGAGACTTAGTTGCTCTTAGCAGTGATTCGGCTATCGTTGTACAATGTCCCCACACCTGCACTACGCTATTCTTGATGCAATTTGCATTTGCTGTTAAGGTGGTACGTGTCTGTGACAGTGTTTTCTGCAAACTTTGACTTCCCGCATTATAAATGGCAACAATGTTTGCTGCCATTTCATCATTTTTCGCAATGAAACTGGCTTTCGTACAGTTGGCTCCGTATTCTGTTTCATTTTGTGGCGTCTTCTGTTGCTGTTGGCAATATTGATAATGGCGATGACGGGGAGGATTGTAATGGTAATGGCGCTGCAACGACTGCAGCTGATTTGACGATTGGCTGTGGCAGTAACGGCAATTGCTTGTGTTGGAATATTTGTCGGTTTTTAAATTATGGCTTGCGTGGGATTTTATTATACCGTGATCACTGGCTTGTTGTTGTGTGCAACAAATCCTACTGTGACAGTCGAATGGATAACAGTTTACACAGGATACTTCTACTATTTCTCCTTGCTCTTTTTCCCTACCTCTTTGCCGTACACTTCCCTCTTTCGCTTGCTTCTTGGCGATTTGTTTTGCTTTACACTCTTCACGAGGATTTGTCACTTCCTTAAAGTGTCGGTACACGGCCTCCTTTTTTTGTTCGTTGTTACTATTATTATTATTATTATTATTATTATTATTGTTGTCTTTATTGTTTTTGTTCTTGTTTGTGTTGGTATCACTATTGCTGTGTGTATTACTTTTATCGCACGAATGTTTAATTGCAGTTTTCTTAATTGTTTTGTTTATAGTTATTTTTGTTGTATCTTGGCAGCCTTTACTAAATGTTTCCTTTTTATTGTTGTGGCTGATTTTTGTACCGTGCTGTGTTCCTCCAACTTTCTGATTACAATTCCTTGACACAATAATTCTCGTTGAAACTTTTGTCGGTGTTGAACTAATTGTTGTTGTTAATAAGTTTTCCTTTATGTCACATAGACTTTGCAGTTTGGCTGTTTCAAACGAACAGCCCATGGTACGATATCTGCTGTAAAAAAAGAGGCACAAGAAACCCAAATAATTAAAATGAAATTTATTTACTCGACAATCGTGGAAAACTTTTAAACTAAATTCCAATTGAGTTAATCTCAACTACAGGCTAAATTACGATAAATTAAAACAATAGCTCACTCTTAATTAAGTGTTGCCTTACGATGATCTGTTTCTTAACAACCGCGACTATTCCGGAAACCTATTATAATTTCTCTCTCTCTCTCTCTCTCTCTCTCTCTCTAAAGAAATTGTCATTCGAATGGTGACTGCGCATTCGTTTGACTACAACAATGCCGCAATCAATAAATTCTTCCCTCGACTAAACGCATAATCATAGATAGAAATTTTCTTTTTCCTCGTTAACTGATTGTACTTATGCGGCCGGTCATGATACAAGCAACAAGAAAGTATACGCTTTGCATTAAGGCACTTAATCTTAATGCCTTAGTAAAAATCTTTTTTGCTTTTGAGAACAAAAAAAAAAAAAAAAAAAAAAAAAAAATGGAACGTGATGCTTATTTGTTGCCATACAGTTGCATAGACATTTAAAGGAAATAAATGGCAGACGCAAGATTTTGTTTAACCAGGATTTTTCCTACTTACCTACAGATTACATGTTAAGCGAATATGTGAGGAATTATTAACAATAAATAAATTCGTCTTCTTGACGACAATGATCTAAATATATTGTTAATATAACATTTGTTTTTTTTCTTTTAAAGATTTCAATAGATGATACCATCATAACATTTCCGGATCTATGGACTTTCATATATCGCGGGTCTGCATTTACGTGTACCTGCAAGTTCTTATGCAAAAATCCGAAACTAAAATCGAATTCTCTTTAAACACATAATACGAAGCTGAGTTTGCGAATCGTTTAACATGCCGTTGATTTGCGCATTTTTGAGATTGGGTTCGATCACCTTAATGAGCTGTAATAAAAGTTTGCTCAATTTAGATCGAAATTTTCTGTAAATTGCAAATCGGATCTGTATAGAATACGTTAATGAAATTGTGGCCCTGGATTATTGTATGAAAGTTGTGCCGAAATTTTAATTAAGCATTAACACAAGGGGTCATAGTGAACGGCTTTAACAGAAATCTGAAATTCTGAAATTCGACTCTAGATGTTTTTCCCACGTAAGTTACCTCCAAATTACTCATTGATTGTGGTTGAAGTGATTTTACGTGGATTTATTTTGGATTTTTCACAATTATATCATAGCACATCCGTATCCATTCAATTGATTGCCAGTCTTTCGCAATAACTAACGGAAATCTCACTTTAAATACTAAACTTTGCTTCGCTTGACATTCGTTCGTTGCAATTGTGTTACTTTCGTTAGAGAAGCTTTACACGGGAATATAATACAGGATTGTTGTTGTGTTTAACGTGATGTACTATTCCATTGACAATACCAGATTTCGTGTTAAAGTTTGACCAAAACGATATGTTTTCATTTTAAAAAACGCGCTCTACAGCACACACATAATAAATGCTTGTAGTTTTCTTTATCGTAGTGCTACTTGCGGACGTGAGAACAAGTGAAACAAAGTGTTTTTGTTTTTTGTTTTTTTTTTTTTTGAAGCAATACTTTGGCAACGTAAGAAGCATTATCTTCGTGGGATGTAGTAAAACAGTAATAAATAATAATGAAAATTAGACCACTGGACACAAAGGCAAGCAAGTGAAAGTCATATTTCTAAAGGGCGATAATTAACGAATGCGAGTACTTGTCTATTTAGAGTGTCTTCTGGCGGCCTCTTATTGCAAGGAGACGAGCAAGAAGAGTACTATTACGAGCTCATCTTAGCTTCGGCAATGTTCTCTCACCATAAATATTCAGCAAATTTTTTTTTTTTTTTTTCTTGTATATCACTTAAATTTTTCTTTTTTCTTACTTGATCGATAAAAATTATATGAGAAATGATATCGATTCTCCAGTAGAATGAATCTGTTCCATTTTTCCATCTTCCACCTTCCACCTTCGTTTAGACTGGGCTTTTGGAATTAACTGTCGTCATTGCTATTATTAGGCCGTTTAATAACTTCGGCAACTGCAAAATTCGACTTCATTCACAAACGTAGTTTGCTTCAAAAGTGTCAGTGACCGTTCAACGTTTACCAAGAATGAAGATTTGTTAAGACCGTGAAAAGTGCACACCAAACTACCCCCTGGGATATTCTTTACATATTTGCAGACAACTAACCATTGCTGGAGACGACTATGAATGGATGGAGGCATTGTAACCATGGACTTGTCCTACGCTGAATTTAGTCGACTGTAAGTAAACATGATGCCCGTTTGGAACTTAGCTTTCTCGCACCCAGAACTTAATAGAGAATATTGTATACTGTCGCTTTTTTTTTTTTGCAATTTTATTGCTCGAGTATGGTGGTGGCTGTCTCTATCCTAAATGCAAGGACATTAGATTGTTATAGGTGCAGGCAGGTTTCGCTTGCTTTAGGAAAGAAGGTTTCTACGATATCCAAGCTTTTATGTCTGGTACTGCAATTTGGCTGCGGAGCACCACCTGAGAGCATTGTCTTGCTAAGTGGAGGCGCTAGTTATCGAGTGCATTCTATTGCTTAGCCGATCGGATGTCATACGATTAAGCTTACTATGGCAGCGTGCAAATGTCGAACTTTCAATGATATCGAATCGTTAGGTTATTTTTTAATGCATTCTATGCATGTATAGCATAAATTGCGTTAGTTTTAAAGGTGGAATGTTCCGACGACCCTTTGCTGTCGACAATGGCTACTTCGACTTGCTTAAATATCCAAGTTTAATGCACATTAATAATAACAGACTAACCAAAGTCGGGACTATCTGAAAGATAATCTAACTAAATTTCTTTGGAAAAGTACGCATTTATTTTCGGCATCTGTCGTATGTTTTTTAAAGTTTTGATTATAATAAAAGGAAAATGCATTGTGTTTTTCTTTTCTCATTTCTTTCAAATTCCTCTACATTCGCAATCATGTATCAAGAGAGATAATGTTTTCATATGTCATCATAAATTAATGGAAAATGGAAAATTGTTGGTAGAATGCTGACAAATCACACCAAATAAACCTTGCCCGTAACATTCATTGTGCATTGCTTAAGCGTATGCATAGATTTCTTAGCCATTTAAATGGACGTCAACGTATGTTTCAAATTATCCAATTATTACTTTTTATAATGGAAATGCTTCAAAGCAAGTACAGGTGTATTCCCTTCACATAACCCCTTTTCGACACTTTTGATACATTACCACAAGGAGAAATAGTTATTTATACGGAGCTATGTATAAGTATGCATTAGCTTATGTACGAAGAACCGAAGCACTGCAAATATTTTAACATTTGGTCGGACCACGATTCCGTTCCGTACGAGACGGAGATCAAATATAACGAAAATTATTCAACTTATGTAAGAGGAAAGAGTACGACAGCATTCACTTGCTAAATCGGTTCAAACCTAATATATGCTAATGTGACTTACGTTACCGTCAGGTTTAAGCCTCTGCGATCGTTAAATTTCTTTGATCATAGCACCAGATACGTTTCCGGAATTATCTCTGCTTAAGGGATTTAAAGCAAACCTGTGCATGTTAAACAATACGCGCATTGTCAAAATTGATTTCATTTTTCTAATAGCACTTAAAATATATGAAACCATCAACTTTGAATATCTATATATTTCTAAAGTGTAACATATGACGCCGTGGTGGCGGCACCATTTTCTAGGATAACTTTCGAATTGCGGTCATTATGGCGCCCTTCAAGGCTCCAACTTTTTGTTCAAATCTTTTCAATCATCTAGCATATGTGGAAAAGGATTTATTGCCTGAAAAAAAAAAATGTTGCTATGAAGTTTCGGAATGGCTGTCTCCTCTAACCTGCATCTAACCAACAATAGCAAAGAAACTTTGCTAGGAATTTGTAACTTCTTGGCTCCGCTAATATATATTGGTGGAAAATCCTTATGTTTATTTGAAAGAGCGTTTGTCAGCAAAAATATGCTTATACGGGTTGTATTCAAGTGACCGTTGAGCAGAAGTGAGGCAGAGAACGACTCAAAGAGAATTAGTGCTTCCGTCAAGATTGTAAATGTATATAATGAAAAATTGATGTCAATTATGAATTCGTTTATATAGAATTATATATTTTCTTGCTGCTGTACGTACGGATGTATGCAACACCCAGAAGAGCTTAAGGTACACCCAACTTTTATTATGCCGATCAAGTCAGAAAAATTTTTTGAATCGATCTAAGCCTATCTGTCCATCTGTCTGATGTCTGTCCATGAATATTTATGTTCAACTGACAGGTCGCAATTTTTGAGATACTTGGATGAAATTTGGGACATTGACGAACTTTATCCCAAAAACGAACACTATTGAAAATACTTCGGATCGCTCCATTTTTTCGACCACTCTCCATATAACGACCTATACTGAAAAGTCGTTATGGTAAAAAAAATTGAAGTTTTAAAAATTTGCCTGCAAAAATAACTAAGTAGTAGTGTTTGGGCATTCTAAATAGGTGAGAAAACGTCCAATTTTCTGAATCCCCTTTTAGATAATGATTCCAGCAGAAACTAACGCATTGTATGGTAAAAAATTTAAAATTTCCAAAATATCACAGTGAAAATTTGAGGACAATAGTAAATTGACAAAGAAATCTGCCTACCTTAACGAATTTGAATCACTATTCTATTTTTAAATGCCACCGCTTAGGAGAGTTCTAGTGAGACGTAAGCCTTTATATGCCAAGAAAGTCTAACTACTAATTTTTTATGATGAAAATTTGCTCATGATAGTGATTATAGGAAAAAACAAGTAAAAACTTTATAGTGGGGCAGGGCTGACCACTAAAGACCCTGCACCACATTGTCCAACACAATTCTTATTTTTATTATAGAACACAGAAATTATATCTTATAAAAACTTAAATTTTTCAAGTGCGTATTTATGGGGAAGCGAGCCCAGAAATCCGGACAC